TTTTCAATATTTTCGTCGATTCGAGTAGTTGATGGACGTCCAGAGCAAGGTCGGTCATCAATTGACTCGTCGCCATTTTTGAAGCCAACAAACCACTGGTACACTTGAGTTTTTCCCATCGCATCGTCTAAGCTGTTTTTAACATTAAAACAGTTTCAGCAGCACTTTTACCGAGCAGAAAACAAAATTTCACAGCTGCACGTTGTTCTTTTAAACTTGCCATCGAAAAAAACGAAATAACAAAAAAAGAGCGTTAACAAAAAATGGCACTGCAAGTGAACAAAACAAGTTACGGAGGTGGCGTTGAACTCGCAATAAGTTGTACCATCCACAACTTAGCGTATACCGAAAAATGACAATAAAACCTTAATTAATCTTGTGAGAATTTAAATTTAATAATGGAGAAGTATCTAAATCTAATCTATATTAGGTTTCGGATAAATAGAGTTTACTTTTGTCTGGATTTGTTTTTTATTTATAATTTTGTCGATAATGGACGGATTGTAGTCGTTGTTCAGTGCAATTTGTTTAATGAGTTCAGTTCTTTGTTGTAATTTTCTGTTGAAAGTGGCGTATTAAGAAATCTGTGTATAAAAGAGTGAAATGCAGCCATTTTGTGTGTATAAGGGTGATTTGAGCTGGCGGCCACAGGCATACATAACAGCTTAAATCACCCACACCGAAAATTACAACAAAGAACTTAATATCATTTAACAAATTGCTCTGAACAACAGCTGCAATCCGTCCATTATCGACAAAATTTTAAATAAAAAACAAATCCAGACAACAGAACACGAACAATTAAAAACAATTACATGCATAGGAGAACCCAGTGCAAAAAGTTTCAAAACATTTGTCAAAATGTGGTTTAAAAATAGCTTTCAGAAGTAACAAAATAGGAAAATTTTTGAAAAACAATAAAACGAAATGACCAAAATCTCAAAAATCAGGTGTCTACAGGTTGAAATGCGGATCATGTCCTGAAATTTATATTGGCCAAACAGGTAGATCCTTCAAGAAACGCATTAACGAACACAAAAAAGTGTTTAAAAGCAATAGTCTACATTCTAATTATGCTACACACTTAAACACAGCAAAACACATTTTTAACGACAATTTTGCAATTTTACATACAGCTAGAAAAAGTAGAAAATTAAATTTATTGGAAGCCATGGAGATTAACAAAATGAGACAGTCAAATGTATAACGATCAATTAGATTTAAATACCTAAACTTAAATTCTCACAACATTATTAATTTTTCGGTATATATAGTAGCAGGTAGTTTGTAAATATTACATTTGATAAACATTTGATAAAGACACGGTGTTTTCGAAACAATTGTCATGTGAATATATATAATTTCGTGAAAATATGAACTTTTAGTTCTTATTTATTTTGTTTAATATTTACCCTATAAGCTTCTAAACGTTATTTATACCTACCAAACACTTTATTTTGATATTGTAATGGGTGTTCAAATCTCTAGTTATTTTAGCACAACCACAATTTCAAAGGTTTAGTACATTTTTTCAATCAATGTTTTCGTTTTTGGACAATATATTATAAACTATAGTTAACCAAAGTAATTTTATTTGTAAAGCTGGCGACCGCGATCAAATGTCTATACCGCAATTGCTTCCAACGGAAACTTACCTTTAGATATTCTATGGTAATCTCCAAAATAATGGCGTTTTGATGTTTTGCACGACCTTTCGGAAAAACCATTTAATTAACGCGCGGTTACTTTGTCAACGTTTGTTTTAAGCACGTATTGGATAAACATTTCGGTACGATAAAAAGGAAATTACGATTAAGCGATAGGTAAATCGTAAACTGTTTTATTTATTTTTTCCACGAAATCTTCTGAATAATCGCCGTTATTTACTACATATTATCAACGTGCTCTTTCCGGCGATACCCACGCCACTTCTTTTTTGGTCTGTTCTCCGTTCTCTGTCCCCATTAATTGGCCATAATTTCCGAGCGGTTTGATATTTCCCTCCTTTTAAACAGTCAAGACACATAAGTCAACAAAAAATGGTAGCAATCAGACAACGGCGTCCATCTTTTTTCTTCGATTTCCGACTGTTTCTTGGATATCGCTACGAAACACGATAAGTGTCCGTAATTTGAAGCTATCGACTATAAATTTCGCAAGTGAAGAGATGGGGGGACTGGGGGGTCGGGAAGTATTTAAAAAAAATTAAACATTGCGCTTAAAAAATAAATCAATTCCGTTTTTGTGATCGAGAACATCTGCGAGATCAAAAGCTTCTTTTATTCTTCGTAATTTTCCAAAAAGGTACAGGGTGTGGCCGGTATTCGCAAAAAAGTGAAAATTGGGGTCCCCTTATAATGGTAATTGACGATAACTAGAAGGCTGTGCCTTAGTTAGTTTCTTTCACATGATCATATAGTCCATGCGGACAGTTAAAACCTTTGCAATGGTTTCACCTATTGTACAAGGTGTTCAAGATATTCCAAGCTATATTAAGAAATGTAACAAGTGTCTTGAAATTGCAGCTACCGATTTCAAATTTAGCAAAGAGTTAGAAGTCCACAACTACATTAAACTGTTGAAACTGTCGCCATCAAGTATCAAGTATTTTTCAAAAGCTTTTGAAATTTTTTTTGCTTCGTTTTATTTTCAAAAAAAAAATATTTCCTCCAAAACTAAAATCCTATATCCAACAGACGGGGAACATCCAGTGCCAACAAATTTGTTTCAAGAATTTTTTTCGATTATATTACAGGGTTTTTCAATGATTATCAAAATTCGCAAAAAAATCACATACGCTGCTCGAGGTTTAGTCTAGAAGCGATGACGTCACTGACTATTACGGCATAAGGCATACTTTCAGAAAAAAAATATTTTCCCGAAAACTATTTATTCTATTGGAAAAATCATTGGACCAGGAAACGTGGGAGTCCAGGGCTACAACCCCTATTTCCGAAAATTTCTCAATTATGTACAGGGTGTGTCGATTATAGGCAAAAATTTCCTGAAAATTGCCGTATTCGTGGGTTATTATTATTAGCCGAAATGAAAAACTATAAAACGTGGGGTAATTTGGTTTAAGCAGTAACGTAGTAGTATCCTGTGTAGAGAGAGTTTCGTCCATCATACAGAGCGAGATATTTGTAAAAATATCATTGGAAATCGGTATTATTGGTACAAATCTTTATATTTACCAAGGGTTTGTCGTGACTTTGAAGTTCGGCGAGACGCTTTATACAGGGTGTATGCATACTAAAATTACATCGATTTTGCGAAAATCTTGTTTTTAATAGATTAATCATGCTACAAATAAAATAAAATATGAAAAAAAAATTGATCTAAATTTTCAACATAACTTTATTCTAATATATATTTTTGAAAAGCTTAAATGATTTCCAATTCATGTAAAAAATAATACACTTACACCACGCCGCTGGGCGATTCTACGAAAAAAATCCCAGAAGACCGTTTTTTAAACTCTTCAGCAACTCAAAAGGCGACGGATATATGGGGGTGGTTCCAAAATCGATAGTTTCGAATTTCACCCTGTATCTCAACAACCGTGATAATTTTATTGACGGTATCTTTAATTTCACAAAAAAGTAGCGTAAAAACTAAAAGATAACCCAAAAAGGGTTAATAATGTATTATGCAACAAGTGCGGTAAACGGCATTTAATTCACGAGTCAAATGTCCGAAGTGGCTCGGATCCGTGGGAAATGAAACTGACGTGGTAAAGTGGTGCTTCCCGCACACTAGATCGCTGTGTAATTAGGCATTTTATGGACGAGAATAGAAAATAGTATATTATGCAATAAGTGCGGTAAACGGCATTTGACTCACGAGCGAAGCGAGTGTTTAATAAACGAGTGACTTAAAAAGTTTACAGAACATGTTGAATACTATACTTTTTCTACGACCGTTAGTTTGCCAACAACACTGACATGGCCGTCAGAATTGATAAACGTCCAAATTCAAGCTGTGCGGTAAAATCTCCGAAAACATGCGATTGCTCCCAATCCTGAGCGGTAAAATCCCGGAACTGTCCGAAGTGGCTCGGATGCGTGGGAAACGAAACTGACGTGGTAAAGTGACGCTTCCCGCACGCTAGATCGGTGTGTAATTAGGTATTTTATACACGGGACTAGAAAATAGTATTTGTATAAAGAATTTTAAAAAATTGCACGTGCCACGTTTCCAGCTAACCCGGTATACACGCGAATCCGTTCGATTCGCGTCGCCGCCACCGCAAGCGCAAGTCAATATACAAACAAACCGACCGGGTGACCTTGTCACACATCCGCGCGTAGCGAAAAACTTCCATCGCCGCTCGAACTTAATTAGATAAGAAGCGGGCCAAAAAAAAAACAAAAGGCCATTTTCGCATGTTGCACTGGCACAAAATTTCGCTAGACGTAGAGGTTATGTGGTCCGTGTTACGTGATCGCCTCCGTATCGGGACGTGACGTGGCCGGATAGGCGGCTGTGAGAATTAAACGGGGTGGAATTTTGGTGACGCGATGCTAAATAAAAAATAAATAAATAAACGGAACCGGACGACAACCCACGCGGCTTCCACCAAAAAGCCCCCGACTGACTCACCGGCGGCCGGCAACGTACTCATCAAATTCCTGAGGACAAACGAACCGTCCTGTATCATTTAAAACCGGGTAGCGGATGATACTTGCGCCCACACGCGGGTATTTCGCCCAACATATGCGGGACGTCGTCGTGTGTGTGTGTCACGGCCCGCTGCAATATGTTTCGCGAATACCAGCCGCCGCCACGGACCACACGACCAGCTGATCGAGCCCGGCCGACTACGACCGTGCCCGTAGTTGCCGCGTCGCGCCGTTTACACGGCGAGCCATGCGAAAGCGTGCTGAACCGCCCTCGGGCGGTGCGAAACGAACGAAAAGAAGAAAAAACGGGGGGGCAAGCAAAAAATTAATGAATACGGCAAAAATGCAGCAGCGGGAGCGGCGATTCCGCGCGTTTACCTGAGCTGAAATGGGAGCGTTTCGTGTCGCCGTTTTCCGCGTCCCCGTCTAACGGTCGTTTTCTAGAGTCCGCGATTTCAGGCGACGGGCACGTATCCATTCCCGAATCGGCGGCCATCTTACGTTTAGTTCAGCAGTGCATGGGAGCCGAGCGGGAAACCCGAACGGCGGCAACGACGCACTAGCCGTTCACACACACACACAAACTCCCCCACCACCACTCTCGTCGCGCGCTCGATGTTGCCGTAGAGGGCGCACGCGTCGACTGTTTCGCGCGTTGTTTGTTATTCGACACTGCGGACGCACCGCTTTCGATTCATTCGCCGCAAACAACGGAGGACGACTGAGACGATCGAGCTTGATAGCAGCAGCAGCAGCGGGAGAGACCCCCGAAGTGTAAACACGCGCCGCTCTGCTGGCCTAGACCCGCGACGACGACGACGCCGATTAGATAGCGCGAATTGTCGCTCTCTCTCTCTCTCTCTCGCTCTCTGGCCGGGGCTGAAAATGAAAAAACGCGCGATTCCGAATAAATAATTGACGCGAAAACTATGGGCCGTTTCCGATCGCGCGCCTTCAATAATGGATTACGCGTTCGTTAAGACCGGCCGAAGCAAGTGGACTTCATAATATGATAATGCGCCTCGCGGCGTTGCCACGTCGCGCTGATTTCGGAAACTTGTTTTTTTTAAATTAATTTATTTGTCAGTCTATGTAATAAAGTTCTCCAGACGATATTCCGTGTTTACTAACTTTTTCATCGGTGAGATTCCTCGATTATTAGTCCATGCAGTGAAAAATCCATTATTACTTTAAAATGTTTATTATAAACATAGATAGATAGATTTTTATTTGACTGAATTACAATGCATAGTATGTTTACAGCACGTCTAAGTACAAAAGAGAAAAAAAATACAATTATTATACAATACAATACAATTATAACTTTTAAACGGCTTGAGATAGCGATTTGAAATTTGGAAGGGTTAATATACGCCGAATGTCCAATTTTTTGACAATATGTAGTCTTGAACGGAAACGACAGTAACCTATGTTTTTTATTTTTATATTCAGGAGATCATTCTACGTAGAATAAGGCGGTTTTTCTCTCTTCTTTTTGTTTTTTAGATTTTTATTTAATTTTTGAAAGTTGTCTAAGAGGCTGTGACATCATAAATACTATTTACCGGATCACCTGATCATGAGAAAATTCGTAAATGACACTTTTCTTTACTTAATTATCTAATGGCAAATAGCATTTAATGTAATGTACTATTAATTTTTTAGAAAATAGCACCCTAATGGGAACAAAAACGGTACTTTTTTTTGCAACATTTTGACATAAAAATTTTCAAATTCCGTTAAAAAATAAGCTCACAGGAAGGAAAAAAATCAGATAAGTAAATACGTTTTTATAAAAACATAATATTACTTAGGTATTGTACGATCAAAAATATAATGCATTTATTGCTTTGACGTTTTAAGTATTTTACAGTGCAACAGACGTTTATTCCGCATTAAGTAAGTCTTGCCTAGGAATGTTCCGATACCATCAAAGTATCGATATCTACTCATTTCGATACTACTCAAATCTTTTTTCGATACTACTCAAATAAATACTCCTAAAGTATCGATACTTACTCATATCGATACTTTTAGCACTTTATTATTTTTTATTTATTTTAAGGAAACTAACAACGAACGTTGAAATACAATAATTAAAACAAAATTAAGAAGGAAAAGAAAACTTATATTATAGACGTTTGCGTCCCTTTAAGCACGTACTTTAAAACAAAAAATTCCACGATAACATGGCATAATAAGCCGATGATTACAATAAATAAAATTATTCGTAAGCAATCTCTTGTATGTTTGACAATTTATGTTGGTTGACAATGGAAAAAAAATGAAGGGCGGACGTCTTTCTCGCGTTTGGCTCGGGCTCGGTCGAGTGAAGTCGGACGAGTTCGGCTTGACTGGCGCGAGACAACGCGTCACCACAGATCAGATAGAGATTATGTTTGTCTGATGCCATCGGTTTTTTTTTTATTTGATTTGATACCAATTACTTTTGTTTCGATACCGAGTAAGTATCGCAAGATTGATTCGATGCTATAAATACGTGGTATCGAATCAAAAGTATCGGAATATCCCTACTTACAGGTAAGTTTGAAAATAATCATTCTTATCTTGTGTGTCTGTCGATTAACAACATTCTTTTCCTTTTATTTTCGTGTCTTCTACATAGTTCTTCGATTCGTAAACAACAACAGTCTTTTTTAAGACTATTCGGCGTAGATAAAGTACGTCATAAGAATACAGATAAATATTAATTAGAATTTTACAATCAAACATTTTTTGAAGGTTCCTGTTTTTTAACACTTTAAAATGTGGAAACAGTGGAACGAAGCAGATGTTCCCCTGTTAGAAGAAGACATGGAAAACAACGCAGCATTTGAAGGCAAAGTGGAGATGGTAGTCCAACATAATGACAATTTAGAAGACGAATACCTCATAAAGAAATTGTTTTAAATGTTTACAATTTTATAAGAAATACAGATGGGGAAGATTGATCAGCAATAAAAACAAGATTGCTTTCGAAAAATCGTCGGTGAGCGGAGCGGAGTCGCAAATAGCACGAATCAGCATTTTATTTTAAAAAGAAGGAGCTTCGCGGATTTTTGTAGGAACGCAATGTTTTTCTATCGTGCTCCTCCGGACCACTATAGAACTTTCGCAAAATCGGTTTCCTGGTATCCGAATTTTTTCAAAGGAGTAAATGGTTTTCAAAAAACTTCTTGTTTTCTAAAACCGCGTCATCGCGTCTAGATTGAGGGCAAGAATTGGTGATTTTCATTTGGATTTTTTCAAATATTTCGAACAGAGTAAAATTCAATTTCATCGATTTTCGCAAGTAAAAAGTGACATAGAACGTAATAAATTGTTCCTTTGTACTAACTTTTTTATGTACATGTTTCAAGAAATGCTCGGCGTAAAAGACTAAAAACATACTTATATCTCACTATAATTCTGGTCGACCTATACATACATCTAGATATTTGCGAAGGATACAACTGCGTGCTTTCCAATTGTCTGCCATTTTTTTTTAAACAAACGTTACATGCGCACTAAAATAACGAAACGACAATTTTGCTGCGGTTACCCATATTCCTTGCAAGGAAATAATCGCGATTAAAGTAAAAATAAATCGGGGCCGCCGCGGAACCACAGCAATGTTTATGATCGAATTACGTCACGGTGGGATAAACCGCAGTTTTTTTAATTTCGTCTAATGGATCACCGGGTCCCCAAACGAACAATAAATCAAATTTGCGACCTGAGTAACGGACATAAACGTTGCGACGGCGCTATGCAATAAATATCGGGCCTGTAATACCTGCTCACCTGAAAGAAATCTACGGCACCCCCAAAAACGACACAGCACACGAAATTTTGACTAATGTTTTGCGGAATGGATTTTTTTTATGTGTGAAACGAAAATTTTAAAACAAACTGACAGAAATGACGCGTCGTCCGCCATAGGTTACTGGATTTTCCGTGCCGAGCAACACCGAGATTATAATAACAAAAATAAAATCAAATTTATTTTCCCTGAAAATTGCTGAAATCGGCAATGACAAACAAAACAAGGAGAAAGAATTCTATATTACCCAAATTTCTCGACAGTATTTCCACCATGAATGTCTGTCATTTAATTCCCAACCCTTATAATTTGTTGATTATTACGAGATTTTGACAGTCAAACTGACCAAAAAAATGACGTAGCATTTCTTCTTCTTTTCCGTTTCGTGGGCACGTCAACTAAGGACATTCGCCCAACCCAAAGTATTTACTATTACTCCAGTTAAATACAATACAATACAATAATACAAGAAAAAATGGCGTCAAACGAAAAGACCTGATGATTTCGTATGTAACAGAACACACTCAAAAATTGTTGAACATTTTCTGTTAGATATTAATTTAGCAGAAAAAATATCGTGAAAAATTTGTTGTTTTTCTAGACCAAGAGTAAAAATTTACGAAGAAACTTTATTAGTTGGACACAACATTGATATTTCCTAATACTCAAAAATAGTGTTATGAAAAGTTTTGCCACATGCGGAAAGTTTATTCTATGATAGATCATGAAATTCTGAAAAAATTCCATTTATGCAAACAGTAGTAAACAAAAAGTGTTTTTTTGGATTATTTAAAGTAAGGCAGTATGCCCTGAAATTTTATAGAAAAATTGCAATCAGTTATAAAATACTTCGAGAATAATATTGTTAAAATTAAAAAGTCCACTCATGTATATTTGTGGTTTAAGTTTTGGTCATGATATATTGGCTTATTCAAGTTAACAAACTCGAGAACACCAAAACCTGTTTCCTGGGACATCTTGAATGTATCGAAAGCGTTATATCCGAAGGAGACCCAACAAGCATTTAATTTTAAGGTTAACTTGGTCCTGTCTACCATTTGAAAGCACGATTATGGCGTTTACTTGCGATTTTTCAATTTCGGAAGTTATTTATAACAGAAGTTTATTAAATACAGAGTTCAAAGAAATTTGAACAGAAGAAACGTCTTTTTTTATCTCCCTCAACTAAATTAAAAACATATACTAAATCGCATGCCCAAGTTCCCTACTGATGAGACCGTCCTTAACAAATATGCCCGCCTCCTTATTTTTATCTGTATCAGAAATCTATTTATATCCGCAAAAACAGATCCGCTTATTCGTTACGTAACAACGCCGTACCAAATGGAACGGAATAAAAGCATTCGGACTAAAATAAAGCCAAAAAACGAAAACCCACACGCTGTCTTTCGACGCTCCGACCGGTGGATTTTGCGAAACGGAACAAAACGAAAAATCGCGGTCTTGAACGTCCTTGCGATATCGAGAGCGTAGTTGCCGATGTTAATAAATCTTACTGGAAACTGCGATTGCGCGTATCTGACGAAGATCTCATTGCGAGGACTTTTTACTTTGGGTGCGCTTATTTGACACCCCGTTATGATTCTGATAATCACTGCGCCTGCGAATAGGTAAATGCGATTCTTCGGTGCTACAGCTGCCTTGAGCTACGGATCCATTTTACTGCGGTGGTGCTAATTTTTTATTGTTTTGACGTGGTTCTAATAAAAATCAATTACAAATTGTCTGTTTTTTAAAATAATTCATATTTTATGCATACAAAATGTTACTGGTCACACTGCAGTTAAACATAAATTCTCTATAAAATAATTAAATTAAATCGGATATTAACATAACGAATACACCAAATTTTTTTATGTAAACTTTTATTTTAAGCAATTTAAGGTGTATATACTAAAATCAGAACTTTTCAGACCAGGGCGAATTATGGTGAATAATTCCGGAATCGAGCTGGCAACGTAGGGCGAACAACACAATTTAGTAAGAGACACGATTTCGACGAGGCGGTAGATATGATTTGTCGGCTGCGAGTTAATAATAAAATTGCGCGCATTAGCTGTTGTTTATTATTGAATAAGTTTAAATGTTTCTACTCGGAGTGATAAGGAAGTCCTCGAACAACAAACGATTTCATTTTAGCCATTAGCGAACTGAATCTAAATTCATTAAAACTTGTTTCTTCTTTAATTTTATTATAAGGATTTACTTCTCGGTAGAGATGAATATAATTAGGTATAATGAGTTAACTCTTGTAATCTTTCTCAATTTAAATATATTTTGGTTCATTAATACAATACTATTGAAACCGAAATTTAAAAACCATCCTCAAAGGGTTGCATGTCTTATTAAGGTTATTATTTTTTATTCTAGAAGATTTTAAAACTAACTTAATTAAAGACTCAAAGAAAAGTGTATAATCATTTAAATATATACTTGTGTAAACTACTGTTACGATATTTAAGGAGGTAATTATTTGTTTTAAGATAAGAATAACGGTTCATATATACAGGGGTTTTAAAATACGGAGTTGCATCAGTCGTCTAATAGGTGAAGTAAAGTTGTTACATTTTACAACTATACATAGCTATGGGTCTACTTTCGCTTGCATTATTTTTAAAATATCAGCAATATTTCTTATTACAAAATTAGGTTTATATGGCATTAAAGACTCTGCACTAGAATGGATAAAGAACTTTTTATCTGATAGATCTCACCAGACTAAAGTTAATAATAATGTTTCTAGTCATAGGGATAGCAGATGGGGGGTACCGCAGGGAAGCGTGTTGGGCCCGCTTTTTTTTATTATTTATATAAATGATATGTATCAGGTTTTAAAAAACTCCTTTGTTAACTTATTTGCTGATGACACGCTTATTTCAGTCTCTGGAAACGATTGCAAAGAAATAGCTACCAAACTGAACACCGAAATGCAGTATTTCTACGAATGGCTGTGTCAAAATAAACTGAAATTAAATAGCTCCAAAAGTGCATGGTTATCGGTTCTAAGGTTAACTGTCAAAAATTAAATCGGGGTATTCTGTGGATATACAAGGTAATAGAATTGAGTTTGTTTCCGAAATTAAATATTTAGGGGTGATCTTGGATCCACAATTATGCTTTAGTAATCATGTTGAATATCTATGCAATAAAATTGGTAAGAAAATAGGTTTTTTTAACCGTGTATCGCGGTTTTTATCCCAGTGGACTAGGATATTAGTGTATAATAGTATAATTTTGCCTCATTTTTCATATGTTTGTTCATTGTTTATATCTTGTACAAAAGAAGATTTAAATAAGTTACAACAAAATAGGGTTATGAGAATCATCCTGAACTGTGATAGATATACTCCTATAAAGAGTATGTTAGACCAGCTAAATTGGCTAAATGTCGGGCAGTTCATTAGAAGAGCAAGTTTAATGTTGGTTTATGGAATTGCGCACGATCACCAACCAGGCTATCTTAAATTATGGTTGAAAAAAAGGTCAAACTTTTATCAATATAATATACGTTCGAATCAGCACTTCAATGTTTCTATGGGAAAAACAACAAATTTACAGAAAACTCTATTCTACGATGGTGTTTGTAATTTTAATGAACTGCCGGATAATATTAAGGGCGCGCCTCGCCCAAGAGTGTTCAAGAAGAGACTTACGGGGTATTTGCGAAGTTTATAGTTTTGTTTATGCAAATTTTACTTGCTTATGTAAATAGCCAAGTGCTAAATAAATAAATAATAATAAAAATAATAAATAAATAATATATGGAACACCAAAAAAAGTTTTTTTTTAATTTTTCGTTGTAAGAATCTTATATATCTACTCAGTAGTACAACTCGAAGTGAATGTCACCAAATATAGCCAAAACTAACGAGAAGGGTCTATGTGACTGTCTCCGTGGCTATAGAGCTTTTTTTGGATCCTCCTTAGTGTAGAATAGAATAATTTATTGACCACGTTTTGTTCATACAATTATGGCAAGTCATAAATACAATATGTAAAAAATTATGTATGTAAAAAACAAGACACTGAATAAATTACATAGAGTGTATGAATTATACGAAACAGTGTATAATGCATAAGAACAGGACAGTGTATATAACAAATAACAAGACGTTTATAATATATAAATATAAACTATATATATATAATAAAATAAATAAAATAAAATAAATAAATAAAAAGAAGCAACATCAACAAGATTATAGAAAGTCATTTCCATTAAAATGTTTTTCCTGTAGCGACTCTTAAATAAAATTAATATAAAATCTTAGCCAACATACTCCTCGACAGACTTAAGCCATACGCCAACGAAATAGTGGGCGAATATCAGTGTGGATTGAGAAAAGACCGGTCAACTATAGATCAGGTGTTCACCATTAAGCAAATAATGGAGAAGTGCTGGGAATTTAATAAAGAATTACATCAACTGTTTGTGGACTTCAAACAAGCTTACGATAACGTTTGCAGGGTAAAACTTTGGGAAGCTATGGAGGAACTCGGTTTCCCCAAAAAACTGATACGCCTAACACAAATTTGTATTAATGGAGCGAAGAACAAGGTCAGGATCGGGCAAGAACTCTCAGATATTTTTGAAGTCAACAACGGCCTCAAGCAGGGCGATGCCATTTCACCTTTGCTATTCAACATCTCCTTGGAATACGTGGTTAGAAAAGCGGAGATAAAGGCTCCAATGACAATGTTTCGCAATAATGGCTCAAAGCTACTGCTAGCATTTGCAGACGATGTAGATGTGATTGGTAGTAGTAGACTTAACGTCAAGGAGACCTTCACCAACTTCGAGAAACAGGCACTAAATATGGGATTGAAGATCAACGAAGGGAAAACTAAATATATGTACACAACTAGAAACAACCAAAGGAGAGATAGAGTAGGACAAAACATCACAATGGGTGACTATAACTTTGAGCGGGTGAAAAAGTTCAAATATCTAGGAACAACACTCTCAGAAAACGCTGATGGGTCAGAAGAGATAAATTGTAGAATACAAGCTGGTAATAGATGTTTATCAGCGCTACATGACCTTCTTAAATCAAAAAATCTCACACGCACGACTAAACTATCCATATATAAAACCATAATAAGACCCGTAATAATGTATGGATGCGAGACTTGGACACTTACAGTGGCCAACGAAGAGCGGATCAGGGTTTTTGAACGGAGAGTACTGAGAAAAATCTATGGGCCGGTCACTGATATAACAACCGGTAGATATCGTATACGCAAGAACAGGGAGCTATATGAACTATACAAAGACCCCAATATCATCAACGAAATAAAAGCGAGAAGGCTGCAATGGGCCGGACATGTGAAAAGACTTCCAGACAACCGAATAGCCAAGCTAGCATGGGAAGAGGCACCCGAAGGAAAAAGACCACTAGGTCGGCCTCGCCTTCGCTGGAGGGATAACATCGAGAAGGACCTAAAAATAATGGAAGTCAAATAACGCACTAGACCTAATGAACGACAGACAACAATGGAGGCGCATCGTCAAGTCGGCTAAGACCCACCCCGGGTTGTGAGCCACGGGGAGGGAGAGGGACTCTTAAAACTTTTTATTACGCTCTGGTCCATCGGCTGAAATACACTTGTTGTTTTAGCTCGAAGAAATGCCAATTCAATATTCCGTAGATTTGGAATATGTGGATGTGGAGGGCAGTTATCTAAGAGAAGTAATATTTTCCTCCCCTTCAATTCTGCATTCCATTTCCGTATCTCCTCTTCGAAAATTTGCGATGTCATCCATGCAGACCCGTTTGCCTTGTAAGTGACCGGCAAATGCTTGATGTTCTTAAAACATCGTGGATTAGTCGATCTTTCAATAAAGATTAGTTTTCTTTTTTCTCTCCCACTCATATTGGCAGCTACTAACACTGTTATACGTTATCTAGAAAGTTTTCCACCCACACACTTCTCGCTTCGAAATTTAAGAGTTTTATCTGTCGTCATTTTATAAAAAATACCAGTTTCGTAAGCATTAAAAATGTCGTCAGCAGGGTACTTTTCTGCTAGTTTTGGCCACGTCTTCTCCAGCCAATCGTTAGTGACGTTTCTGTAGACATCACAGGCTTCGCCACTTATCTGTTCATAATTTATACCATGTCTCTGCTTGAACTTCCCCAACCATCCTTCCGAAGCCTTGAAATCGATAATTCCAAGCTGTTCAGAAAACTTTTTTGCTTTTGGTTTTACGATGGGTCCAGAAAGTAGTACATTTTTAAGACGTTGCTGTTGGAACCTCTGCAACATTGCCTGATCCAAATCTTTAAACTTTGGTTTTCTTAGTTTTTTATTAGAAATGCCTGCCGCTTCAGCCTGAATGATTTTTTCTTTGCACTTCCAAATCGTGGATACAGTCGAAGGCGTAGGTCCGTATCGACGTCCCACATCACTTTTCTTTTCTCCCCGTTCTATCTTTCGAATTAAAGCAACTTTATCATCTAGTGATAAAACTTTTCGAAATTCGATATACAGAGTGGATTAAGACATAGCTTTGTATGCAGACCTAATAGTACAACAAATTTTGTTCGTAATACAGAGTTTTACGTGATACAAAGATTCGCTATAGGGAGTTTTCACTGTATATAACAAAATAACAATTGGTATCTCTTCGAAAATTAGTCAATAAAAATAAGTCGTATTTGTCAGTTAAAAACAAAACCACTCTGTAGGTCACCCAAGTTTTTAGACCAGCCATTTACCATTATCAAATTTATGGGTCATTTCCAGCATTAAGACGACGCCTGCCAGTTTAACGCTAATTACCATAATTAAAAGACAGTTTCTACGGAATTAACGAAAGTGCCGTATACAATGCTAAACCCCGTTACAATATTAGTACCCTGCATGTTCGTTAAAACTACGAAAATACACCCACATTGTTATAATTCGTGTCTAACCCCGATAACGAACTAAACTCGAACAACCGCGACGTCCAAGTAAAAATACCGTTACCGGCCAAGTCACTCAAGACGTTGGCTCCTTCTTCATTTACGTTTCACGTATCGCACTTGCAGTTAACAATTTAATTTCGCTCGTGGCGTCGTCCGTCTTTTCAATGTGTTTTTTGCGCGAATAATTCCCGCCGATCGAATAAATGAAATGGAAACCGAAATCGAACGCGAAGATTTAAACAACGATGACGTGAGTATGCAGATTTGTTATTAAAAAACGAATTCTCGTGTGTTTATTTCACGCAGATATCCTTGAATGGATTCGCGTTTAAGTTCATTGGGGTCATAATAATGCTCGTACCTACGCTAGATGTTAGCTAGAGTCATACCGCCTTCCGAATATGCTCGACTATTTACACTTCCAACTTGCTAAATTTTGCGTCGTGACAACCAGTTTTAACTATTAAATTAAAATCGTCACTAATAGGAAATAGAATTCTGCCAGTGCTTCAATCGGACCGTAGCAGCAACAGAATTTTAACTAACCATTGGTTTGTTTACTTTAACCTGTTTTTATTTTATTCTGTCCACTTCACGTTACTTTCTTTGCTATATATTAATTTGAATACTTGAATACATACATACAAGCAAAGCAAAAAGTTGGGCGCGTTCCCTTGGGATTACCGATGAAGTTAAATCACAGATCGTGCTTCTGCAGTTGTAACAAACGGCGTAATATCGCAAAAGGAAGAATAAGAAGAAGAGGCGAGTAGTAAAATGTCATTTCGGCTCTCGAGCAGAAGAGTAAAAAAGCATTTTTCAATTTTATTGTTATGGCGACGAATCTGGTTTGTCGTGTTTTCAATATAATATTGGGAGAGTTGTTGTATAAAAAATAAAATGAAAATTTAAGAACGCCTTTTATTTTCTCCCTCAGGAGCCGATGACATTTTACTACGCGCCATTTCTTCTTCTTCCTTTTTCTTTATATCCGTTTGTTACAGATTCGATTAAGGGATCTGTGATAGGTACCAAAGAAGGCTGCCAATTTTCAATAAATACAAAAAAGATCTATATTCCAGCGCTATCGGTCAGCCCGATAGATGGCGCAACAATTATTAACTTAAAACGTAAATTTAAAAAACTAGTTAAACACTCCGTTCTACACCTTGATTGCTCCCGTTGTGCGATCCAATGTCTACTTAGAAAAAATAACACCAGAGAGCGAGTGGGAAAAACAACATTGGACGCATTCAGCGGACGTAGCAAAGTAGCTCCCGATTCGTAGCGGTAGCGATTGCGATTGGGGATGTGTTGGACATTTGAGTTTGCAAAACCGTAGCGGAAACGTCCGGTGGCACATGCGCTACAAACCCAACACGTTGTAGGGTGCATGCAGATTTAAGTAGCGGGCAAGAATCGTAAACCTAATAGGATTGCCCAATCCCATAAGACATACGTTCGCCAAAATTATCGATCGCACGTGGTCGCTTGTGACGTAAGCGAAGTGCTCTAACGGTTTTTGTGTGTTCTGTCAATGCATTTGAAGGCGTATTAAAGCGTTGTATTTTGTGATCTATGAACAATTAAAATAGTGAGTAGTGCGCTTATGTTTGTGTTAATTGCATTTCTGTAAAAAAAAATTAGACAAACCAGTAACAAATACCTAAAAATTGTATGTGCTTGAGTGGCGAGAACTGAGAAAAACAGTTTTTTTAATCTTAAGCAAAGACATAAAAGTTTTGTGTTCGTGCTGCTTATTAGCGGTGTTATTAGTTAGGAGGTGAGCTCAAAATATTCCACATAATAATATAGGTAAAGTAAGAAATACATTTCTTTTATCCTTTTCAGTGGGATAAGTTACATAAAAAAATAGTTAGGTATGCCTGGAACGAGATGTGCCATGTATGGATGCAATAACAACTATTTTGATGAAAAAGCAAGTTCTCGAAAATGTAGTTTTCATCGCTTTCCCAAAGGGAAAGATCTGGTATCTGGAACTATTCGGAACGAGTGGATAGTTCGATGTAGAAGAGAGGACAAAGTTAATCCAGATAAAAGCTATGTCTGCTCAGTTCATTTTACTGAAAATGATTACGAAAGAGACTTACAAAATGAGTGATTAGGTTTTTTTTGTTTTGAGTAACACATTAAATTCATTAAATTTTAGGTTTACCTTTAAAAAAGATTCTAAAAAAAACTGCTGTTTCCACCGTGTTATTATTTAACCAGAAGCCACAAAAAGAAGCAGGATTATCTAGATCAAAAAGACTTCATTCAAAAAATGCCAAAAAAGAAGCTCAGCCGGTATTGTCTGAGCTTTTAGCAACAACATCGAATGCCACAAGTGAAATTCTAGAGGAAAATCCATCTCCAGATCATCATTACAGCATTCCCTCTTGGGTACAACATGGGGGCCTTATAAAGCCTTCTGATCATTTTTTGAAAAAAATTAAAAAATGGAACTTTTATTTTGAATCCCATCATCCTGATTCGTTTCGAAAAGGGCAAGGGGTGGTAAAAAACTTAGCAAAAAAAAATATTTAAAACAGAAAATAAATTACCATTTATTTTAGTTAGAGACTTTTGTAAGCTGAGAACGATAATTCGTATGAACTTCAGAAATTTAAAAGCAAAATATAACGTTAGTCTAAAAGAAGAAGAAGAAAATTTTTGCAAGATGATAACCCCAGAAAAAGAATTAGAAAGTATGGTAAAATTGTAAAATAAAATTTTAAGTATATGTAATAATATGTATTTTTTATATTATGTACATACGAGGGTACATATAAAGATATATTATTATTTACGTACCACCTATAAATAGTTGTTATGTATGCCTAATATATTTTTTGTTTTTTAATATGTTCATCAATATATCCAAAAATAGGGTTTCTAGTTTATAAGAATTTGTTGATTTTTGTATATTTAAAATGGTAGAGTGCCGTAAAACACAAAGTTTTACAAGTAAATCGTTTTGTTCGCTAGTTTTATGTATTTATATGTAACAATATTTAATTAATATATGTACTTAAAGATAATATATATAAGCCAAACTTGATTGCAATAGTATTATTTTTACCCTACCCTACGCTACTTCCCAATAATTATTAAATAAGTACTAAAACGATTTAATGTTGACATTAAATGAAAATAACGAGTGATTATCCAAACAAAATGCTATATTAGCTACTCACAATACTCAAAGTCCATCAAAACTCGGGTCAGTTTCAGATTATTTCCATGCATTTACATAGTAAACGCGCCAATACAGGATTTCACCTATGTCACAGCCAGTGAGAGTTGCGGACAGATTTGGCGTATTAGGCAATATTATTAGGTTTACGATTCTTGAGAAGCGGGTCTATTTTTTGCTAGGTAACGGTAGCGAAGCGATCTACATCGACAGAATTTGGTTTTGAAAATGGTGAATTTGATCAAGTATTGTATTGTATTGTATTGTATGTATTGGACAGTGATGGTGAGTATGAATTTCCAGCATAATAAATATATTTTATTTGTTATTGGTACTTAAGAAAACATTTTTTTTTCAGAGTCCTATCAGGAAAGTTTTCGCGACATCCGCTAGAGTTTTCGAAGATCATATCGAGTATGTCCCTTTTTTAAACAAATGGAAATTACTCTCACATGAAATAGATATGCAACTTTAAATTATTTGCAGAATGTATTTTCACTAAACTGAACAAATATTGGATAGGAAATGGAGAAACCTGAAAAAAAAAAACTGCACAGGTATTAAAGTCAATACACGGAAAACTGGAAGGGGTAGAATTACTTGGAATATTATCATTGGTTTGATGAAATACATAGGGAGGACAAAACAGTTAACCTCCCTAACCTAATTACGTCGACAGCAATTCCTGTTATAAGGAAAAAAGCGCCTTGCCTCGTTATCCCAATGACTCCGCCGATGGAAACCACTCCAATCAGAGCAATAACTGTGTCCACCCCGTAAGTTAAGTTTCAACAGTTCAACAGGGAGTCAAAGATTGGAATGTTTTATCTACGAAGAAGACTGACAAATATCGAGGCTGCACGAGTACATGAAATTACAAACCGCCATTGAAAGAAATAAAATTTTGCACTAATTATGTGAATTTCAAAAAAAAAGAGCAATACAAAAATATATTTTATTTGTTATAAAAGCATGTATCATTTCCATCTTCATCTGCAATATCCACTTCCAGGTGTAGTAGCTCCTCTCCTAAACATATTATAGAATGTCTCGCTGCTCCGGAACATGCTAGGTGTGGTAAATTCTAAAGACCTCTTATAAATTTACAAATATAGGCTTCGAAAATATTGTAAGAACAAGTTCCCTTCATAACTCCTTACATTTTTTCCATAATATGTGGACACCAACCAACTTCATTATCCTCATATTCGAATTGGTTCTGCTAATTCCAAAGCCATTTGACCAATCACATTTATATTTATATTATCCTTCGTCATTTCGATTTGAATGAAAATGTCCATAACGCCCGTTCCTATTAATTTTTAAAGGAGTAGGTACAAGAACACAAAGACGTTTCCACTTTATTAACACTTGTTAAATCCGCAGCACTGCACACAAACACTGAATAAGTATACCTTCGAAAAAATCTAAATCGCAAAATCATCAACATTCAATAAAAATAAGAAACCATAACCTTACATATGTCAAAAACGGAAACGGCAAATGACTTGACACGTCGCTACCGCTATCATAAGCGATTTGCTACGTCCGCTAAACGCCACCATTGGGGCAGGTTTCGTCTGACCGTTCTTAGTTATATAGACAACCTCAAATTTAATCCATAAAACCATGGAATCTATACCGCTTTTGAGCGATTTCTCCATTTTAGTTAGTTAGTTCAATCTAACCGGCACATTCACCATTTTATTGCAGGGAAAGAAATCTCGAGTTCCAGAAAACCGACCGAACACTTACGAAAAATACAACATCATTTCCATTTTCGTGGCGGTGATATCGGTACTCACCATACTAGTGATCGCGGGGGACGAATGCCGGCAGTGCTTTCACACCCTCAAAAGCGAAAGAGAACTGCCTAAACCCCCGACCGGCATAAAAAAATTCTGGGCTTATGGAAAAAACTTGCAAAATGGTCATTTAAAGGAAGTCTTCACGGTTCTGGATCGACTCGGATACGAGCACCATCCCAATTCGAGCGATTGGGATCTGCTGTGGGCCCACGATTATCCATTTAGGGCGTTATATCCGGAACTGAGCAAATTGAAACCGCACCAGAAGGTCAATCATTTCCCGGGATGCGGTTACATAACCAACAAAGTGGATCTGTCCACCAGCCAAGTGGAGTACGTGCCTCGAGCGTTCAAATTGCCCGAACACAAGGAAAAATTGCTCGAGTACGCGAGTAAATTTCCAAAGGCCACGTTCGTCCAGAAGAACAACGACCATCGAAATATAAAGATTAAGAAGGTCGAAGAAGTCGATCTGGATAAGTCTGGTACTTTCGTGCAAGAGTACGTGGACAAACCGCTACTGATTAGCGGTCACAAGTTCGATATCGGCATTTATACGGTTATAACGTCGGTTGATCCGTTGAGGGTTTACATTTATAACGGGGAGGCCTTGCTGAGGTAAGTGCTCGGTTAAACCCATATAACTATAAGATAATATAGTGCCCCTACTACAGTAAAAAGTGATGTGCCGCAGGTGGCTATGACATCTTCGCAGAGAAGGTGGGGATATTTTGCGCATGCGTCACCCCCAACTAACTGAATTGTCACATTGCCGTAATTTTTCTGAAACATTGACTATAAGAACATAAGAACGCAAAATCAGTCCCTAAAATCCGAATCCGAATTGCTGTTGTCAGAGAATACTATAGTGGAGCGCCGTAAGGTTTATACCTCGGAATCCAGGGCCAGTCAATAAATCTTTTTATAAACTTTGGCAATGTGTTTTTAATAGCATATAGAAAAATGTTAAAAAAAATATTTTGTGAGATTTTAATTTTTTAATAATTATTATAAATAATTATTAATTTTTTGGAGTTTTCCTTAAGTTATATTAGTGTAAAATTAGATTTTAAAAAGAAGAACTATTGCAAACTTCATCCTGGGCCTCAAGGGACTGCAGGTATAAAGATGAAGGGTGGGGAGGGGAATAGAGGGGGTAACAGCAGCTGTTGGGTGTTGTTAACGTGGTGGGTGTTGTTAACGCAGTTCAACCTGAAGCCACTTGATTTTTGAGATTTTGGACATTTCGTTTTATTGTTTTTTAAAAATGTTCCTATTGCGTTGTTAGTTCTGAAAGCTATTTTTAAACCACATTTTGAGAAATGTTTTGAAACTTTTGGACTGGGTTCTCCTATGTATGTTAATATTGTTTTAAATTGTTCGTGTTCTATATTAGGTTTCGGATAAATAGAGTTTACTCTTGTCTGCATTTGTTTTTTATTTATAATTTTATCGATAACGGACGGATTGTAGCCGTTGTTCAGTGCAATTTGTTTAATGATATTAAGCCACAAAAAGTAGAAAACTAAATTTATTGGAAGCCATGGAGATTAACAAAATGAGACTTTCAAATGTATTGCTTAACGATCAATTAGATTTAAATACCTCCCATTATTAAACTTAAATTTTCACAACATTAATTAAGGTGTAAAGTCCAGATTTCGTGAAAATCTGAACTTTTAGTTCTTATTTATTTTGTCAAAAATTTAATGCTGAAATGTTGTTAATTAAGATAATTCTTTCGTTCGAATCCAACAATTTAACTATTAATATATTCATAAAAATAATATTGAATGCAGGTTTTGTTCGGAAAAGTATTACCCCTTCGATCCCAACAATTTGGACAAATATGTGGTCGGGGACGACTACTTGCCGATATGGGAATTACCAGCACTCGATTATTACTACAACGAATTAGGATTCGGGATGAAGGAAAGTTTGAACGCTCATTTGAGGAGCAAAGGCAAGGATCCCAGCAAAATATGGAACCAGATAGAGGCGGCCATCAGAGCTATTATTTTGGCAAAGGAACCCTACATGGCAGATATTTTAAATAAGTAGGAAAACTCGGCTGCGTTTTTTGGTTTCCTTCACTTCTCGGCTTGTTTATTTTTAGGTTTAAATCTAAGCGAAATTTTTTCGAAATGATGCGTTTTGATTTCGTAATAGATGAAGAGTTAAACATTTATTTACTGGAAGCGAATATGAGTCCAAATTTATCTTCAGCTCATTTCCCGCCAAACAGATTGCTGTACCAGCAAGTGCTGTACAATGTGTTGGGATTGGTTGGTGTCGGGGAGATGCTCTACAGAGATTCGTTAAAAGTTAGGTAGGCTCCACATCTTATATTGAAAAAATTGCTATAAATGCTAACGCCCTACAAATGGTGTTTACTTAGGTCAAGGGAAGAAGAAACAATGATAGTTTCTGACAAACACTTGGTGGTGTTTGCTGAAAAATGTAACAGCGTTTTGTGCAAAAGCAGCTGCTCTCCGCCAGAGTGTCAACTTTGTAGGCCTTGCCTTTCTCCGGAGACAAAACTCGACCTCGCACAAGCTTTTAGGGAGCACCTTCACAGAAGCGATTGCAAAAGGGTATTTCCCCCATCAATGGTAATTTCTATCTATAACCGCGGTCCATCGGAACTTGCTTAACTTAATTTCAGACCAAAGAAGAAGCCCAAGAACCAATAGATGAAAAATACTCGGCAGAAAATCAATTGCACTACCGGTGGTTTCAAGGAAAGTGCCTACAGGAGCCTTCTTGGTGCTAATACTAAGACTAATACTAATATTTTTTCACTTGGAGAAAAACATTTTTAAAGAAATTGTGTGTTTGTTTTACATTTATAATCATGTAGAAATGCAGCAATTGTTGCTTAAAACGAGAATTTTAGCAAATAACTGAATCTCTTAAATTTCTGTGAAGGAGCACAGAAATTAATGAACGTTCTAATTGGTAATAAAATTTATTAATGTCATAAAAAACCACAGCACTAGAAATATTACCCACATTCACTCTGGTGACCAAAGAACCACATCACTATCAATGCTAGAACTATCACATCTAGCTGGGTAACTTAAATATACAAGTTAAATATACAAGTTAAGTTGAAGCCCTAGCACCGCGAGCCTGTTGCAATTGAGCACTTAGAACCATTACTTTCTCAGATAACCTATTGTTATGTTCTTTCAGATATCTAATCAAATCGGCCTGAAAAGAAGCAGGTGCTCATTAATATTTTCATCAGTTTAATTAAGTAAAGAAAAACTCAAAAATAAAAACCACGGAATTAAATGTCAATTACCTGTTTCTCTAATAAGTCTTGCACTTTATCTCCCAATTCTCTGTATCCCACTTCGTTTTGATGGAGGGTGTCCGGAGAAGAGACCGCTGCCCAGTCATTTCTCTGAACGTCTGGTGGAGGTTTTTCTTTATTAAAGCGCGCTACATCCACTGCAATGTTAAAAAATTGCCAACCCCAAATTAAAAACTACCAGTACGAGACCTTACTTACCCATATAATTAATATTAATTCTAGCGATGGCAAAGAACTCCACTGTGATCAGTCCGCAGAGGTAATGGATTGGCGACATGCCATCATTTTTCAAACACTTTTCAGCAAAGTCATCGGGGTAGTAGTGTTGCATTAATGTCTGTACAAACATTAGGCTTATGCTCCATAGGCTAACTACCAATAATGGCAAGCTAATGGAACATTCCGTTTTCTTATAAAATTCTAGATAACCGTTCATTCTCAATTGGTGGTGGTAGTGCTTTGCAACAAAATGCAGAAACTGAAAGCATATAGAAATAAAGATAACTGTCTCTACAAAAGGTCAAAGCACTGTTATCACATAAAAACAAAAATAACTTTCCTTACAATTGTTAGAAACCATAAGGCAATATGAATGTAGATGATAATAAAGTACTCTCTGCATTTACTTTTTTCATCTGGATGTAACACAGAGTATACTATAGCTATAATGTTCAAAACGAATGTGAACATTAAATGAAAACTAAAAATAGGAATAGTTTTTATTGGCTTGAAAACTCCATACGAATCCAAGATAGGCTGTAAATGTTCACGTTCCTCCATATTAACGGATTCGCTGAAAAACGTCGCGCCCTGCAATAGTTTCCCCATTAATGGATTTAAAAATAAACATTACACACTAAGATAAGTTGTGATTTGATTTAAAACGAATTACTTGGTCCATACGTACCGCAGAATTTGTATTGAAACTTCTGGATAAACTAACCATTATTTGTCTGGTAAAACACCCATATTTGTTTATTGTATGTATTATGTTCGACAACGAAAAATCGCAAACAAATAAAAAACAGTGGAATATATTAAATAGAGCGAGCCACTGGGCAAAACGCTTGGGAACACTCGCCCATTAATCGGTTAAGCGGACATAGACTAGTCTTGAAATATGCTTTCAGTGCGTTTATTGAGTTAAAGCAAAAATGATGTTTTTAATACCCAAGGATACGCATTGTATGGTTTACTGACGATTTATTAATAACCCATAATACATTTCACGATTGGCGCTGCGATTAAAGTTGGCACGCTATTAAATAATTAACGATTAGAAAACACCATTGTTACGTAACTGTCAACATATAAATTCTCAATGGTAATATTTCGGATTGGTTTGGCTATGCATTTAGACTAATACAAATGTTGAACTTTTATGTGCACTTGGAGTATATAGAAAAAACAATTACAATAATTTCTCTAGTTCTTCATTGTTCTTCTTGATTTCCTGGATATCTCTTAGCAATTTCTCTTCTTCCTTTTTAATATCACTTAACTTCTTTTTTTCATACACCCTATTATTAATAATTTTCAAAAGACCAATTGTCCTATACTCTGGCACAGACGTTTCCTGTTTCAATAAACTCTCATATTCCTTCTTGTTCAGCTCGAAATTGGCGAGCGCGTCATTTTCGTAAGTTTCCATTTCCTTCGTCAACGCATTGGGTTGCTAAAGGATACAAAGATATTAGAAAAAAATAATAAAAACAAAAAATAAACGCGCACTCACAAATTGCGCTTGGAGTGCTTGCAACAGATCATTTGAATTCTTCACAGCATGAGACTGATTCTCTCTAAAATATAAAAACGGTTAAAATAGGGCTGCGTTTCAAAGACATTTGATTACAATCCGTCGGTAAACTTCTTTTGCAAATTCTTATAAAGAGACTGCTTCTCGGACAGCTCTTTCGTGCTAGCTTCGTTTTCTTTGTAAATTTCCGTGGATTCTTGGAAAATTTGACAAAACTCCAACCTTAAAGAATTCAACTTGTCTCGTTCGTCTTCGGTTTCCTTCGCTTGTTGGCTGTACATGGCGTAAAATTCGTCGAATTCGGCCTGGATACTTTGCAATTCTTGCTGTTTCTGCTCCAGGTGTTGTTGCTGTTTACTGTAGATTTCAAAAATCGCTTCGAAGTCGTAAGTTTCTGCCATTTCGAAAACGATTCGCGAGAGATTGGGTTGTGCTCAAACGATTGTCAAAAAAAAACCGCGAACCAAAGCCGCCTTTAAGGGTCCGCATGGGAGACTTTTGACGTCACTTGCGGGGCGCGATTTATATATGCGTTTATTTCAAATAAAAATCGAAAACAATGGAGTTTAGTTTTTCACTGCATAAGGGACGTGTGATTTGGACGATAACCGGAATCTTTAACGTTTGCGTAATTTTATGTAGATCTGATTACTTAACAGCAGCGTTATGTACATATGAGCACATGTTTACGTGTGATCGCCGATCGCTTGGCCTCTACTTCTTCGTGTGAAAGCAAAGGCGGTTATTTTATCGCAAATGTGCAAGACAAACCAGTAATCAGAGAGCTCAACTGCGAAGTTCAGTACGAAATGCCGTGATTTTCTGGGCGAATTGTGGTCGTTAAAAAAAAATAGATACCGATTAATATAATGGAGTACAGGTGCTTGGTGGTTTTTTTGGCGATTGTGGCGATCGCGGTGGTGAAATGTCAGGAGAGGATTACGATTTTCTCGTCGGCAGGTTGGTATTTTGATTTTGTTGCCGGTGTATCACACACGTGAATTAAAATGGAGATTTAATTAAGGCCTAAAAAGTTTTAGTTTTACGTAGAAACATTTGTAATAAAAATAATAATACTCATATTTTTTTCTCTATCGCTTGAATATTTAATTTTCTAATAAAAAAAATTGCGAAACGCAAATGAAAGCTCAAATAACAAGCTTCACAAACGTTTGCTATCTCGTTAACATCAATAAGCAATTGCTGCATTCACAGTAGCGGTATTATCTAAAATATTTATTGTGACAGGCCTGTGTTAAATAGTTTAACAATATAAAAAATAACAACTGTTTCCACTATTAAAAATAAAAAATCCCAAATAATTATTAGGTATTTACGCAATTAAAACCAAATTATTAATAATTATCATGGCGTTGCACCAATGTTTAATCAAACCGTGTCAATAAGGGCAAATTTCAAAACTAAACTGAGGCATTGCAAATTCTGCTGAAGATATCAACGAAAATATGCTGGATTAACATTTTTTGAGGGTTAATATTTATAAACCTTAGCTGGACTTTATAAAAATTCGCATTACAGGATAGGGTGATATATCCCACGTAAACATTCATTTGATTGATAAAAATCTAAGTAAAACGCAATTAGGTATGATTGAAAAAAAATCTGCTGGTTTTATTTCAAGTTAAAATATTTAAAAACTCGGTATTAAGGTACAACTTGTTACATTATATTTTTTTTTGGATATAATGACCTCTTCGTTTTAAATCTATAGCAGTTTAAATTATTATTATAAACATTTAAAATAATATTTGTGATGCTTATTTTATTATCTGTGTCATTCTAATTTGAATGTATTTTTTTCAATACAAATTGCAGACAATACGAATAGTATAATTAATAAAATAGAATAGAATAAGTAATAAAAATTAGCATGCACATTTTAATGTTAATTGTAATTAAAAATGCATTTATTGTTTTGTAAAAACTGACGAATCAAATGTTTTCAAAATTCGTCTGCGAATAAAACGTGAAAAGGCCTTAAAAAGAGGTATAACACTTTAACTATTAAAAAAAAGCTTAAAATGGCGCACTGCTGTCATTTTGACATTTTGAGATACTGTTTTTATGTCAAAAATTTGACATTTTAATTATATACGTCCATGCCACCGCGCTATCTACAAGGGCACAAAGAATCATTTACATGGGCACTCTATAATCATACCACATTCATGTCATTTTAATTTGCACAAGGTACACAATATGTACGTAGTTCTCGGCTACCCGCGGAAGTGGAAAATAACTGCGATTTAATAATAAATATGCAAAGAATTTTATTCGCAAATCGGAAAAATTGTCAGCAACTCTTATTATTATTTAGAACAAGGTTAGAGAGAATTAATTAAAATGCGTTCGTTATTCAACTGGGTTTAATTGAGGAAACGTTAAAGCAATAACAATGCTAGGAAAGGTTTCTTAAAAATAAGTCGCGCCTGTTACACTTTCTTGGATGCGTGGAGTGGCCATCTCGTTACGTTTAAAATATGCAGTTTTTTTTAATGGTCTTATGCAACGCGACGACACAAAGCATTGTTCACGTGATTTCTGAAATTGAGTTATTCTCAGAGAAAAGTATCAAAGGACATGCTTTGTGACCAGATAAAAGTACTAAGCTCCCTGCAATAAAAATAAATATATGCCACTGGGAAGTGTTATTTTTCATCATAGGAGGCTTGGCACTTGCCCCCTACTAATCATAACTAACCAAAACTTAAAAATCCATGGTACAGTCCGGTTCAGTAAACAGCAGGTGACAAACAGCTACACCATGGAAATTTCGTTCAAGTCTGTAAAACACCTTTTATGAATACTTCTGAAGTGACAAGGAAAAAGTTGGATATACTGATCGCTAAAAAGAAAGCATATTCTGATAAAAAACATGCCATAAGGCGTCAACATTTTTTGAGAATAACAGAGAAGCCATATTAATTCAATACCAAGAGATACTTATTTAGGGGATTTCAAGAACTGTTTTTATCAAGGACTTTCCAAAACTTTTATTTCGCTGACCAAGAAAGGACACTTGTCATACCACACAAATATGGACTGAAACCAATGTCCCGAAGAAGGGTATGGTCTGTTCATAGATATAAGAAAGTGATCAATTGCTTTTGAATGGGATTATCCGAGGGTGGTCATTAACATACAATGCAACTATATTATTATCTAAAGTTTCGGAATTTAAATTCAGGTAAAATTGTGGTCCGTAATAGAAAATAATTTTATACCTACCTGTGTTTAATATTCTTTGGTTTGGTATGCTACTTAGTTTAAGTTTATTAGTAATTATTTTTATTTCGTGTCTAATACAGCGTGTGTTGAATCGTGTGCGAATTATGCAAAATATGTGCGAGTCTAGTGTATCTTAGGAGATGCTCTCGCCCAAATGTAGAAAACACTATTCTATTGAGAGTAAGGAAGTTATAAACAATGTTCCATCAACTGTATGGAAAATTGGGAATAATTCCAAGGAAAAAAGAAGCGATGCTGACATTTTCTGTAAATGAAAGTGATCAAGATATAATACGGCGTATAATTTACCAGCTATACGAGGAACAAAGCGTGCTTACATTAGATATCTTAATTAGGAGGCTTGAAAAAGATGAAACCGGTGTTAAATGTGGCAGAACTACCTTACGGAAGTGTATTCAACAACTGAGTTTTTGATTTAAAAAAATTGACAAAAGGCAAGTTTTAATGGAATCTTTTAGAATTCGGAAATGGCGACTGGAATATCTAGAAAAAATTAGGATTTACAGAGAACAACACAACTTGTATGAAACCTGGTTCGATGCCCCGGAAAAGGGTTGGGTTGACTCAACTGATAAGTGTAAGAAGACACCACCGCTGATTTATTTGAAAGTTGGTTTAAAAACAAACTAGTTCCAAACATTTCTCCTAATAGCATAATTGAAATGGACAATGCAAGTAAACATTTGACTAAAACCCCTTCCTCATGTGACACAAAAGCAACAATCCAAAACTACATGCCGACATTTATTTTCACGAAGATTATACCAAAAAGCAATTAATTGAGGTTCTACAAAGCTTGAACCTACAAAAGGAATACGTCTGTGATAATTATGTAAAAAATCTAGGGTATACAGTTTTCAGGCTTTCACCTTACCACTGTATATTTAATCCCATTGAACATGTTTGGCACCAACTGAAATCTGCCGTTCGTCGTAACAATGTTTTTCCCTAAATGCTGAACAATGTGGAATTCCATCAGAAAATAAAAAATCCACTGCATCAAGACTTTTGTAAGACTACTGCAAGCATTGATTAAAAAGCGCGTTCTTTTTTCATAAAAAATATATTTTTAACATGAAATTTTCGACTACTGTATCCTTTATGTTTCACGTTTGAGGTTAGACCAATTTTTTTTTGTTAACAAGATCTAAAAAATTATTTTTTTTCATTTAATTATTTCTTTACAGTTTACGTTAGTATTAGTTTTCCGTTTGTCTCGAATTTGTTTTTTTTAAAACAAATAATGCCTTTTCTATTAAACTTTCTTTTTGGCACTTACCACCCTTGTTACTTCCACTCTTCAATTGTTCCAGGCGAAAATGAAATAGACTACGAGAAACCAGCAAAAGGCAAATCGCCAAAAAATAGTGGGACCAAGCCGATTCTGAGTCCCGCCAATTCGAAACGTTCAAATAAAGAACGTGTAGAGGAAAAAAATGTTCCGTCAGATATAGTGTGTCCAAAAAAAGAAACGCCCAGACCGCTATTCGCTTTGCGGTGTACCGCCGCCAAGGACTGCAGTCCACTAGGCGATGGACTGTTATGTTGTGATGGTAAATGCCTTAAGGGCGTCAAACCACCAAAACCGGAACCAAAACATCAACGTAATAAATACTGGATCTCTATCGCTCTGTTACTAACAAATTTGATGTTTTAGCCGTATTTTTTGGAATGATTCACCGTCGATGCCCTTCGGATCCCTTACCGGAATTGTCTGGGGTAAAGGAATGCAAGTCAGACAACGATTGTTCATCGAGAATATGCTGCGCGGAAGCTTTACAAAATGGCGAGGTGGCGCACTACTGTAGAACTGCGGAGCCCGTATGGGATAACTTACCTATTCCTAATCACTTTTTGGATAGTAAGATTTTAATATTTAAAATTAATCTGGCTACTAACTTTTACCATTTAGCTTTGAAAACATTTGTCGGGTACATGCAGTGTACCCCACCACCTCCGCCATTTTTGGATCTCTTTCCAAAACCCTGTCAGAATCCTTTGGATTGTTTTCCTAATTTATGTTGCCAAGAAAGAGGGAAAAGATATTGTAGACCTCCCAAAAGGTCTCTCTTGGCGCTAGTCGCCGATATCGGACAGGTAGATAACTCTACAATACAGGAAATATTTCATTCTGTTAATATATTTTTTCCAGAGAATTATACCTGAAGACGCAGCAAAAAAATTTATAGAAAGAATATCCTAAATAGAACCTTTATTTTTGTAAATAAATATTTTTTTAAGTTAGTGATTATTTAATTAACACTTACTGTATATAATAATGTAAGAAAATAAATGTAAATGCTGTTATTTCAGTATTTCAAAACTATGAGGTCACAGAGTTTAAAAAATCAAGCCATGATGGAAATGCTTTATTATATTTAAAATTATTTAACAAAAGGTTCCTTACACATGAATATTACATGTCTTTGATGACTTTAATCAAGCTGAAAAAAAAACGAAAAAAAAAATTAGACAAAGCGAGGTCTTTTAATATGGTGTGCATAAATTTTCGATATATTTCTATAAGAAAATGATTTAAATAACATTATGCATATGGTTTCCATGGTGGTTATCAACTTAAGTGGAGAAAAATTTAACTGAACTAAAATCCTTACCTTTTTAAACCCAATGTCTGCGGCATATTCTCTAAAGCATTGACGGCAAAGATTTAAGCCGTATTTACGGATCAGTCCATGCCTGTTTGAACACGCTCGGCTAAAAGATCGTTAAAAAATAGCCATTAGTGACAAAAACCATGTGGCCCTGGTAAATTATAACCTACAGACTACTCCGAAATTTTGTCGATTTAAATGACTTACCAGGATCTCGAACCTTGTCCATATTTACGTGGATGTGAGTACCAGATGTTTTGGAAACCCATTTCTTTTTTGAATGGCTCTTAACAAGTTATTCACAAACACAGGCCACACTCACGCCAAAATTGACATAAAAAGAGGAAAGTTCAACAAACCAAAGACTGAAGTTGAAACGGTTGTAGGCGAACGTCATCCAATGAGAACATTTCGCAGGATCATTCGCCCATTTTTGGCAAAGTCGGTTTTAATTTTTTTTCTTGCTAATTTGTAATGAAATATCATTAATCGATCAAAAGATGCAAGACTGCTATTGCTGTGTGCATTATTACGTATATATAGATTATATAATTCAATTTACAGAACACGAAAAAAATTATAGTTAGGCAACCAAACATGGTTTTCGTGCACTAGGGAATTTTGGTTCTGAAATTAGTGTAATTTGTCAACGTAAAAGGAATATTTCTTTCAAGTCAATCCAAAAAATTGTAGTGAATAAGTATATAATAAGAGGTGTGTTAGTGACAAAAAATGGCAAAAACTTACGATTATTTGTTTAAATTGCTCCTTATCGGTGATTCTGGCGTCGGAAAAACTTGTGTGTTGTTTCGTTTTTCAGAAGATGCTTTTAACACAACGTTTATTTCAACCATAGGTGAGTCAGAGATTTTTGTTGTTTTGGAACAACCTGTAGGTTTCTTTAACCGCTGGAATGAATTTTTTATAATTTAAGCAAGTGTTCTACCGCTTAACTTTATTTCATATATCATCTAAACTCATTGAAAATTATATTCCCTATTTTTTGTTGCCCTTCTGTTCCATTTTTTGTTTTTATAATGCAAGCCCAGTGACTAATCTTTTTTCAACCAAGATGATCTAAACATCTATTAATTATCCTATAATTGCCGCAGTTTAGGTCAACACATCATTTCGGAGTTAGTTTACATAAAAAATTGTTGAGGTGTCGTAAAATTTTAAAGTTGTCAAAACACTTTTCCAGGAATCGATTTTAAAATAAGAACAATTGATTTGGACGGCAAGAAAATTAAGTTGCAAATATGGTAAGTTTTTTGGTTATAGTTTTTACTTATATTTATTATATTTGATATAAAATTGTTGTGGGATAATTAATTTTTTTTTCAGGGATACAGCAGGTCAAGAGAGATTCAGGACCATCACCACCGCATATTATCGGGGTGCTATGGGTATAATGTTAGTGTATGACATAACAAATGAAAAGAGTTTTGACAACATTAAAAATTGGATTAGAAATATTGAAGAGAATGCATCTGCGGATGTAGAAAAGATGTTGCTCGGGAACAAATGTGAACTTGAGCAAAAGAGACAAGTTTCAAAAGAGCGGGGCGAACAGTTAGCAATTGAGTATGGAATAAAATTTATAGAAACTAGTGCAAAAGCAAGTATTCGGGTTGAAGAAGCTTTTTTCACACTAGCTAGAGATATTAAGGCAAAAATGGAGAAGAAACTGGTACGTAATTTTACTGTCTTTTCTACACTTTTTAATTTTCTGCAAGTTTTTGTATTTACAAGTTTATGCCCCTAGGGCAACAATATTTTTGATTACCTAAAAATAATAATTTTAAGTTAAAATAAACACTTGAAGTTGTTAGGATTCCTTGTTTATTTTATTGTACCCACTAATTATATTGTCTGTTCTTTTCTTGCTCTTCATGTATTGGCAGAAGGTAAATACACTTTTTGATTTTGGTGCATGAACTTTTGCCTGAGCTAGCATTTTTTATCATACCAAAAAATGTCCCAATATTTTTACCATATATCTGCATTTGTTTTTATATTTTAGACTTTAAATGAATAACAGTGTGGTTTTGAATGTGATTTTACAGTTACAGAGTTACAGAATTAAATTCAATCATTCCATTGCGAATCATGAATTTGCAAATTTACAACTTGCCTTATAAAATAGGGTTTGTTTGAAAAAGATACTAAACCCTTTGCATGTGGTGATTATTTTATATGGTATATAATGCAGTTTACTTAATTCAGCATGTTCTTAAATAACAAATTCTTTGCTTGTGCTCTCTCGCCTGAATGATTTTAAACAATGAAGTTGAATTTAGCAAGCGAACATCCATTTCGAGTTAGGACTAATTAAGTGGTCTATTGTAACAGGGCGTGTAAGGAGGAAGAAAGAGAAAGAGGGGTGCTTTACGTTGTAATTCTTTCCCACAAAATTTTCCATTTTCATTTTGCTTATAATTGTTCTGTTCCAATGCAAATGTCTAATGGATTTCTTGTTTATTATAATTAAATTAAATGTCATTCTCAATTTGTAACATCCAATTAAGTAAAAAGATAAAGAATTTGAAAAAAATATGGTTATGGTATGTCTTTGAATAGAGAACTGTAAATCCAACATTACTCCAAAAAGTATACAAAATGAAAAATCTTTGTTTCAAATGCGGTATTAATCTTTAGTTGTTGTTGAAACAGAATAATTTTCTATTTATTTGTGGCACATATATTCCATTCTTATATCATTTGTTTAGGAAGCAAGCAATCCTCCTAAAGGTGGACACCAGCTGAGAGCGTCCGAGCCACAAAAGAAACCCACAAGTTGGCTATCAAGATGCACTCTTCTCTGACCATATGTTTTTGTAGACATTTCCCCTCTTTCGTTCCCATTTAGGTGAGTTTCGTATTAACTCAATAAATCCAAAATATTTAATCGATTAAAAATATTTCTAATTCTAACGTAACTTTAAACTGTACTGTACTAGTATACTATGGTATATTGAGTGTATCAATTTGCTATAATTTTGCTTTGCAGGTGTTTTGGATTAAAACCGGACTTATTTGCGCTTCGAAGGACTATTATTGGGGCGGTCGTTTAAATCTATGTAATCATGTGACGTGAACCAACGACCAAGGTGCTCCCCTTTGATTTTTGGTTTCAAACAAATCGTGATATGGTAACTAACTACCAGAAAATTTAGCGCTTTTTTAGCATAATGAAATTGTTGCGCCTGCTTTACCGCTTAACTTAATATGTTCGGGTCCACTTCGGCCCCCCTGAAATTTGTATCATTTAAAATCAGGTAGCAACGTTTAGGGTGATTATTTAGCACAAAGATTTTGTAGTAATCTAAACGTAATATTGGGTGTATGTTATTCCGCGACAATTCGTTGGATTTAGCTATTATGTGTCACGCGTTGCTCGTTTGCAAATTTTCGTTGAAATTTAGATGGTTTTTCTAAATTATTTCGGAAGAAATCTATTTGTGATAGTTGAAATTTGTCCTACCGTACAGATTTTTGATTCTTCCATAGAGACGTTGCCTGTGCGGTTAGATCTATGACCCAAAGAACCGGGTTTAATATATTTGCAACTCGGTCAATTTTACAGTTTTGCTGATTTAGATTTCAAATTATTATTATTTTTCAACGCAATGCTAGGACTATTTTTATTTATTTTTATTATTTCTATAACGATTGTGACCCTTTAATATCACACTTCAATTTCATTCCTTTTTGTAAATGTGGCAAATCAACATTTCTAACAAAATAAAAAACACTATTTACAGAATTGTCAAAATTTGTTTAAATGTCGCGAGTCCATAGGAAAAAAGTTGCAAATATTTTGAAATCCAGAACCACTGATACAAAATTTCGATAAGTTTCTGTCAAGCCGTTGTTGAAATATTCCACTTTTCTGTTTTTTTTTTTGAGCGACCCCCGTATGTTTCTATGAGTTTAAAACAAATACGGGACAAAATAAAATTGTTCGATTGTTTTTTTTTTTGTTGCCCTTTTTAAATCTGTTTCCTTGGAAACCGTCATGACCAGTGAACATAAAAATGTATATAATAACAAACAAATCAACAACTTTTTTTGTCAAAGAAATGTTATTTTTTTACATTCTACATTATATAAAAAACCTAATACTTTTATTTATTTCTGCTTACACACGACGTACCGGTGAAAATTAAATTTCTGTGTATGGCTCTAGAATGGAGATAATATTAATCTAGAACCTGGAAAATATTGGCCGTTTTTAATCATATTCCATAAAACCCAAAATCTTCGATTAGGAGTAATTATATTTTTTTACCGCTCTAAGCTATTAAATTTATACTCGTATATTTCTTCATATTAATATAATTATATTCGTGCACTTTTTCATTTTCAGGCTACTAGATTAAATGACGGCTATGGTAATAGATTCTAAATCGCTTGTGTATATATATATATATTTAAATCCTCTAAATGTACTATTTTCCACTTTGTTACGTGTTAATTTATAACAATTTGTTGAGTGTACAAATTTTTTATATGTTCGACTAGTAAAACGGTGGAGCAATACTGTCGCGTATTCAAATACAGAAAATTGCGGCCCTCAAGAAATTTTGATTCTCGTAAATATCGAATGATATAGACTTTTATACATTTTGTATAAAAAGGGAAACCACACACATTGTTACTTTAAGGTTCTGTAAATAAACAATATTTTAATTTTGTTTCGCTTTTATTGTTTGCAATCACCAACAGCGTCGAGTGGTTTTTATTTGCCATCCTTTATCTTTGGCTCACGTATGCAGGTATGTATCGCTCTTCTGTTCAATAAACACAAACTTTTAGTGCTCCATGTTCAATATTTTAAATAACCCCCCAGCGACAGTCTCATTTCACGCGATTGCTCCTCGCTGAGGTTCTCTAGCGGGGCCCTCGCATGCCCCACGTTTATAGGGCTTACGTAATTCATTGCCACTTTCGTTGTCGGTACCTTGGGACCTGAAAAATCGCGTTAAATAACACCCTGTATACTTTGATAGTGCGGGGAATAACCGAACGATCTGATAATTTTCATGGCGGCTGTTAAATTCTCTTGCAGTCCTTGAGCCTTGGCAACGTCGGACATTTTGACGGCTTCCAGTATGCCAGTGGCGTAGCTCGGAAAAATGTTAATCGACGTCGCTATGGCGGAATCGAACCCCAACGCGAACGCCGGCGCTAACAGCTGTAAATGTAAAGTCCAGCCATAGCAATGGTGCAGTTACGTCATAGTTCATTATAGGATGTCGTAAATTGATTGACACAGAACTTTTGTTTGTTTGTTATGGTTATGGTAGCGATATATGCTGTGTTAACAAGATTGCTTTCGAAAAGTCGTCGGTGAGCGGGGCAAGTTCGTAGCAAATAGCGCGAATCACCTTTTTATTTTAAAAAGAAGGCGCTTCGCGGATTCTTGTCCTAGAGGGACGCAATGTTTTTCTATCGTGCTCCTCCGGACCACTATGGAGCTTTCGCAAAATCGATGTAATTTGATTGTGAATACAGTGTCCTTCATATCTCGTCGAACTTCAAAGTTACGGCACACTTCGGTAAATATTAAAATTTGTACTGGTAATTGCAATTTAAAATTATATTTTTTCAAATATCTTGCGTACACTCTCTCTCGACACAGTTTACGATACCGTTTTCATGTATCGCCAATAATTCACCCACAAAAATTTCTAGGATCTATTAGAATTTTTTGCCCATAAACGACGTACTCTGTATATAATTCCACCAATGTTCGAAATAGAGGATATAGCCCTGGATCTCCTTAGTTTCCTACTTGTATTCTGAAACCATGCAATACGCGGTAATATTAAATGACGTCATCGCGTTTAGATTGAGGACGAGAAATAGTGATTTTCATTTGCATTATTTCAAATATCTCGAACAGCGTGTGTGATAGACGAAAACCGTAAATACAAAAATCGTTGCCCTTGATACGGCCTATAACACGGTTTGAACGGATTAGCCACTGTTTGTACCGCTTTTGATTTACGCTTAATAATTTACTCTCTAAAAGAACAATTTTCAGGGTCTTTTAGATTTTTGTCTATAACTAAAAGACCTTGTACATAATCGAAAAAATGCGTGAAACAGAAGTTATAGCGCCGATCGGATGAATGGCTTTGGAGGAAAAGCTGTTTTTCTGGATGCCAAAATAACCACAAAACAAATTTAATTTAAAAATTAAAAACAATTTAAAGAGTCTAAATGCGGGTCCAGACTTCAACTTCTCTCCCAAATCTGAATAAACAAAAATGTCTTTTTGGCGTATAGTTGGTTAAATGAACTTTTAAGATTCTTAGGGATGGTAAATTGTTCAAGTCGTTTTGTACCAAATCGTTCTCACGTTCTAGAACCGTCTATCGAAGAGAAATGTAAAATTTTCATGGGGTATTGTCACAAAAACAAAGTTTTAAAAAAATTGAAGAATTATTAACAATTACGGGTGGCCCACAAATAAAAATAAAATTAACCGTTGTGACATTTCCGAATGTGAATCTTTACAAGAAAAATGTATTGGCTTTATTCATCAAGGTCATCTTGGAATGGTTAAATGTAGAGCCCGAGCAAAATCTTGTGTTTGGTGGCTAGGATTTTCAACCGAAATAGAAAATTTTGTCAGAAAAGAACCGTTTTCCGAAAGACCCTGGCAAAAAGTAGGTATAGATTTATTTAAACTTGACAGATTGATATTTGATTATAGTGGATTATTTCTCAACATATTTCGATATTTTCAAGCTTCAATCTTTAACAGAAATAAATATTATTACCAACCAAGTATTGTTCGCAAAATTTGAAACTGTTAGACAAATGTGTTAGCAAAATTAAACTAAAATTATATTTAAACATGTGACTAGTAGTCCTTATTTTTCACAGTCCAATGGTTGCGTAGAATCCACCGTTAAGACAGCAAAAAATTTATTAAAAAAGAATAAGGATATGTATTTATCTCTCTTAGCTTATCGCACCACACCCTTAGAAAATGAGTTTAGTCTTCTTAGTAAAATTCGTTCGCATCTCCCAATTTTACCAAAAATTTCAAGTCAAAACGTGGACACGGAACCTGTTTTAAAAGGGGAAGAAAGGTATCGAATTAAAATGTACCGAAATTACAATACCCGACATACGAGGACAGGGCCAAAATTTCCCGGCCTGAATATGAAAGAAACAAAGTAAAGGAAAATAATAATAGTCGCTGGGCTGGACTATAGAGAGGATGATCTATCTGTTGGAATCCACACTCTAAAATGGCAGCTTGTGCAACACCAGCAGTATGGACAGGTGCATTATCGTGCAAAAGACGCACGCCTCTGGTCAGTTTTCCTCGACGTTTTACTCGTACGCAGTCTCGCAATTTATGTAATAATGTTGCGTAACATTTACCAGTGACAGTGGTATTAGTTTCTTTAAAATCTATCAAAAGAATTCCTTCACAATCCCAAAAGATCGTGGCCACCACCTTTCTTGTTGACTGGCAGACTCGGAATTTACTTGGAGGTGCTTCACCCTTACGACGCCACTCCATTGATTCTGTTTTCGATAGAGGGTCATAATAGAGAACCATAGTTTCATCTCCCGTCACAATAGTTTCTATCACAGGCTTCGGTTCCGACCCACACAGTTCCAAAAAAGACCGCGCCCACTCGACACGGCGTTGTTTTTGAATAGCCGAAAGGTTTTTAGGAACCCATCTTGCACTAACCTTATGCATACCTAAATGATCATGTAGGATTCGACGAACACTTGTATTAGAAAGCTTAGGAATTTCTGAGACCTTGAAACGTCGATCACTCAATACCACCTCTTAAACAATCGCAACATCTTCCGTTATGACCTCCACTGGTCGACCAGTTCTTGAATCATCTTCAAGGGATTCCTGTCCCATTCGAAAACGTTTTGCCCATTCTTTCACTACAGAATACGAAGGAGAACTTTGGTCGTACACACCATCCAGCTTTTCTTTCATAATTTTAGGTGCTAACCCTTCTTTTGTCAAAAATTTTATGACTGCTCTATACTCAATTTGCGTTATTTGCGACATTTTTTCAGACACGTCTTGTTCAAAAAGTTGCCAATAAAAAACTATTTGACGCAAGACTTCAGTTTTTTTTTTCGCAGCCTACTAAGATATATATTTAAACGAAGACAAAGTTTTATCGTGATATTGGAGCTGCATCTATGTATGGTAGAATAATACAAAAATTAAGTGAACCAAGGTCTTTTCTAATGGAAACAAACAGCGGGGTTTTCCGTAGAAATGGATGGCGCCTAGTTTTAGTTAGATATTATAATCTTGTTCCAAATAACTCTGAATATCATTCGTGTTTAAACAATGAGTCTTCGTCAGTCATTACGGAATAAATCTTTAGTCTGAACTATCGTATTAATTAACTGTCGCAAAAGTCCCCGACACAACAGTTTCAGATAGCGATTCCTTGATGAAAAATATGAAAAAAACAAAAGTTTTTATAAACATGGGTTCGGAAATGCAGTATTCTCAAGACACAGGGTTTTAAAAGAGGTAAAAAATTAGTAATGTCTAAACAAATATTGCACTCTATTCTGTTGAAATTTGGCAATGTTATTTGGCGTAGTAAGAGGCTACTTTAGCCCTAACGCTGCCTTTTTTTGTAATTTCAATATTTTTTAAGAATCTACGAATACGACTGCTAAAATGTAACTAACTAAACTAACGAACTTTAGCCTTATTCCAACATTTCTGTCCGTACTTTATGTAATCGACGCCACTGGACTTAATAATTTTAATCTATTGGGCTATTAGTCTTTTTTCGGAACATCCTGCGCTTCGCTGGGGTAAAACCCTGCATAAAACGTTAGGTGGTATGGTATTTAAAAGGAATATTACCAAGTCTCCGCCTATGAATACGGTAAACCGACCTCCGGCAGCTTTCAATGCTGCATATCCAGCCGCTAAGTCATTTGACGTAAATTTGATACCCTTTAACGTGGGTAGCTGATTGGTCGACTCTTCCAGGAATTGAGCCATATCGACTAAAAAAATGCGTTTTTAATTAACTCGGGTTAAACGTTGGTTAGTTGATTAATAAAAAAGACAAATATACGGTTATCTTAAATTTGTAGAACGAATGTATTATAGTTTGCACTTAAACCGTTCGTCACAAATTAAATTAGAACAAAAAAATGTTCAGATTTTCACTAATTTAATTTGTGTTAAATGGATTTTCATCAAGTAAAAGCCACCTCAGTCCGATTTTTGAAAGAAGCTGAAAATGGTTTCCTGGCTATTTGGTATTTTAAACTATTGGGTTGTTCGGAAAGTCATTTCGTTTTTTTTGGGGAACATGAAAGACAGTTTTCGTATAATGAATAAATATTTTATTAAATTATATATTGGCCGTTCTGGTCCAACACCTTTTGCCATCTTTCTGGCAGTAACATAATTCCCCTCTCATAAAAGTTTTGGTCCTTGCCGGCAAAAAACTGGTTCAGGTGGTTTTTGACATCTTCATTTGAGGTAAAAGTTTTGCCATCCAAAAAATTTTACAGGGACCGGAACAAATAGTAGTCGGAAGGCGCCAGATCTGGAGAATATAGTGGATGTTGCAGTACGTCCCATTCAAGCTGTAAAAGTTTTTGGCGAGTGACCAAACTTGTGTGAGGTCTCGCATTATCCTGGTGGAACACTACACCCTTCCTGTTGATTAATTCGGGCCTCTTCTCTTTAAGTGAATCATTCAATTTGTCCAGTTGATGACAATAAACTTCTGAATTCATCGTTGTATTGTCCGGCAAAAGCTCAAAAAAAACGATTCCTTTGACATCCCACCAAACGGAGAGCATCACCTTTTTTTGGTGAATGTTGGCTTTTGACACGCTTTGAGCCGGTTCATCTTTTCCGCTCCATGACCTCTTGCGTTTAACATTGTTCTATACAACCCATTTTTCGTCCCCAGTAATAATCCGCTTCAAAAATGGATCATTTTCTTGACGTTTGAGGAGCGCATCACACACGTCAACGCGACGACACAAATTTCGCTCCGTAAGGACATGGGGCACCCACACATCGAGCTTCGAGGTTAAGCCCATGCCTTTCAAATGGCCATAAGCAGTCGAATTCGACAAATTTAATCTCTCACCGATCTCTCGTGTGGTTATTCGCCGACATGCATCAACTAATGCCTTTATCGCATCTTTGTCAGCTTCGACCGGCCTTCCAGACCGTGGTGCATCTTCGACATCAAAATTGCGGGATCGAAATTTTGCAAACCAGTTCTGGCACTGGCGTACTGTTAACACGCCTTCTCCATACACATCCGTCAATTTTTTTCTCGCTTGGACAGCATTTTTACCTTTTCTGAAGTAAAAAAGTAAAATATGACGAAAATGCTGCTTATTGCTCTCCATATTTAAAAGGGCACCAACCAAAAACTACTGCGTAGAATTAATAGAACTTTTTCACACACAAGCCTTGCAATATCAGCTCTCAAGACATATAATGGTTATGCGGCTTAAGTGTGAAGTTGGTTTCGAAAAAACGTAATTAAGTCCTCTGACGGGAAAAAACGAAATGACTTTCCGAACAACCTTATATTATTACGATGCCGAATATATACACAAAACGTTTGGTTGCGCAACGGAGTATATCCCAAATTTATGAAACTAAAAGCCAACAACAACAATCCCGCTGCAAGAAAAGCCCAACTCCAAGGTCAGACACAATAGTCGAAAGAAATACGAAGATATCAATACAAGAAAAGAGATATACATTGGATTTATATGAAGGTAATGCGTTCTGAATTATCTCATAGGCTTAACCCCATAGAATTTGACTTATTCGACAACAGAATCCGAACTGACATATCAAACATTCATTTTCTTATATCTATGAACAGACCATACTCACTATTTACGCCAGTATGTCCGGGATTATGGTAGTACAGTAACGGGGTATTGGGAGCGGCATCGCTGACGTGTTTTAGATAGTTTATCAAATCGCGCGGCTTTTTTGGTTTGAAATAGAGCTCAGGCATGCACAGGATTGAATCTGCTCCTATCTCTTCTGCGTGTTTGGCCAGTTCCAGTACGTCGGGCAGCGGGCAACCACCGACTTGAACCATCAGATGTTGACTGGTATTTTTTACTGTTTCCGACCATGCTTGAGCCAAATCTTTTCGTTCTCGGACCGACAACGAAGTGGCCTCGCCACTGGTGCCATGAACTAAAGAAAAAAGATACCAACACGGTTTTCATTAACGAAATAAATAGCGGTCAAGTATTTTGGCGGAAATATATTTATTAGCTATTACATAAAGTATACTACAAGAACTGTTCGAAAAAAAAATAAAATTCGAGGTCTATTTCTTATCTCTTTGCAAGTATTTTTTGGTTTTTCAGTTAGATTTTAGAAGTCGTATTTGTAGATTTCTAATCAAACAAAAAAGAATAAAGTTACAAAAAAAGGCAGTGGCGTACAACAACAGAATCGAGTGCAATATTTGTATCTGTATCTTGAAAATACTGCATTTTCGGACCCATGTTTATAAAAACTTTTTTTTCAAATTTTTTTGAAATCAATACAATTATTACACTACACTACTTAGACATAATATAGAGAACAGGAAACAAAAAAAGCATACTGGATAGACTTATGCCTAGAGCTTGACAACAATGTGGGGGGGGGGGGGATGCGTACAAGATAGTAATGAAAAAGTTTCACAATTTGGCTCCATATGAACTAAGCCAGGAGAAAAAGGAAGCTATCGCGACCGATGTCTTTCCACGAGCGGAAACCAAACTGTTAGTTGGTGAACCAGAACCTGGAGTAGCACCTTTTACAAAAGACTAACTAAAAAGTGCTACCAACTCCATAAAAAGAGAAAGGGCCCCTGGGTCAGATAAAATACCACCGGAAGCAGTAAAGGAGCTGGCGAGGTTTGCACCCCACAGGATCATAGGCGTAGTAAATCTGTTGTTGCAAAAACAGGAATTTCCAGAGGAGTGGAAGGTCGCTAAACCAGTGTTGATATTAAAAGGGGGCAGGCCTCCAGAACAAACAAGCTCCCACACTCTGCATGACGAACGCTCTTAGCAAATTTACGGAAATACTTATAAGGGACAGACTTATAGTGGAAATCGATCTGAGGGGCGGGCTTCATATGCACCAGGTTGGATTTAGAAAGCGGAAGTCGACGATTGGAGCCCTAGTAGTGGTGCTGAATGAAGCGGACGGGTTTCGCAAGGTATGGTGTGCATTGGTCACATTGGATATAAAAAAATGCTTTCAACTGTGGTAGTCATAAGATAATAATAGAAAAACTATTCAAGTACTTATTAAACCTGATAACAATCTACCTGGCAGATCGAAAGATAAATGTTGATTGTGGCATGGATTTAGAGATGAAGGTACCGCAGGGACCAACCCTATGGAACGTTCTTTATGACGATTTGCTTAGCCTAGAAGTGCAACGATTATAGCATACGCCACCAGCTAACCATAGAACCAACCGAGACGGAGGCTATAATACTAAAAGGAAACGAAGGAGAAATCATATTAACTTCGAACTACTCGGCACACAAATAAATCCCACAAATAGGATTCGTTATCTTGGCATCACAGTAGATGACAAATTTTGGGGGACACATAGACATGGTTATAGCAAAAGCAGAGGACAAAAATGGAAAAATTAAAAATATTGCTACCAATAAAGGCTGATAAAGAATATTAAAATGGATGGATTGTGTGCATCGAGATATAGACTAAAAAAAATATATAATTATTACCAACCATATAGCTGTTATACACTGACATTGATTAAGGACAGTTTTGCATTTTTGAAAATTAAAAATATATTTAAAAATGTTTCAGCTATATTGCTACCATAACCATAAATAACGATTTAAAAACTGTCCCAATGAATACGTTATGGCTAACTACTGGGGTGGTTGTTGGCTATAGCTTTATGGAAAATATACAATACCCACCTAAGATTCCATGGATTCCTGATTCCGATAGATAGTTAGCGTAATTTGGAATTTTCTCTGTATTAATCGATCTAAAACATACAATTGGTCACAGAGATTATCTCTGCGTATCGAAGTCATAGTTGTTAGTATACGATATACAGAAAAAAAAAGTTTTTTTTTAATGAGAATTACAACACTCAATATTTTATTTTTTTATTATAAAATCAACAATGAACAATCCTTTTAGAACAAAATATACTTACGAGTCTTTATCAAATATTGTAAAAACCGGTGCCATGAGCCCTATGAACGTAAAATTAAGCTAAAAACAATAAAATTGCCCAAAAACCATCTCAGAAAATTTTTAAAACTGTCATTTACCAGCATTTTTTAACGTCTATAGTCACTGGCACGTTAATTGCGGTATTAATTTGTTAATAAATATAAGCCGACTAAAACAAGGCGCAAACCAACCAATAATTGTATAACCTTCGCGATATGGCTGAGAAGGAAAGGTTGAACGGATCGAGTGGAAGGGAAGTGAAATCATGAATTCTGAAACGGACTTTGAAAATTTATTCGCAAGTGTGTCACGAACGCGAACGGTGCATATTTTGAAAATTTTAGATTGTGACCTAAAAAAAAATATCAGACCCATCTCAGCCCTTAATATTGATATAACCCGTGCCTAAATCATAATCCGTTTCCTATTTAAATAAGGGATTTTCGAAAAATACCGTTCGAACATATCTTGTCAGAAATTAAACGCTCTACAAAAAAGGGCAGAATATTTTTTTCGATAAATTCAATCCTGTAAAAGTTAGTCAAAGATTAAGTAGCATTCATAAATAAATTCATTGTTTTTATTAATTCTCTCCATCATTTTGAATTATATCTCAACTAAATGCATACAGGTAGGTAATAAAATAGAAAAATATCAAAATTAGGTTCAAAATAATTTATATTATAGCTTATTAATATTAATATTTAGATAATTATTGTCCTTCTATCAATTTTACTTTCTTTTGTCAAACATTCTTTAGTTGCAAACAGATATTTGGCTCTGCATTCACTTACAACTTGAATTAAATAGTGTTTCTGGTCTTCTTGAGTGGAATAGCTCTTTCGGCGACATCGTTTACTACTTGCAGATTATTAACAATTTCTACCCCATTTAAATAATTATCATTACTAATCCACGTATCAGCATTTCTTTACAATTTTTTTTTATTAATGTAAATGTAATGTAAAAACCAAAATTTATATTAAAGTACGTTAGTATACAGTTATTTATTACTATTACAGTTATTTCATAATTTTATTGCAAGAAAAAGATAGAAAAAAACGTAAAACGATGAATTTATTTATGAATGCTACTGAATCATTGAATTACTTTTGCAGGGATGAATTTATCGAAAAAAAGTATTTAGGCCTTTTTTGTGGAGCGCGAAATTTCCTTTCAAAATATGTTCGAACGGTATTTTTCGCTATATTTGTTTCGATAAAAAAAATAATAAATTATTCAATGTTATTCAAATGGGAAACGGATTATGATTTAGGCACGGGTTAATATCAATATTAAGGGCTGAAATGGGTCTGATATTTTTTTTTAGGTCACAATCTAAAAGTTTGGGGGGGTGTTTGAAAAAAAAACCCAATTTGGGAAATAACGAACACCCTAGTGAATATGATAACCGAGCTCAAAACAAAGACCAATCTCATTTATGAAAAATTAACAATTATCACCTAATTTAATCAAATTTCCATTGACACCCTTCATTGTTTGCACGATTTAAGAGCAAAATATACGTATTTAAACAATGGGTAACGAGGCATTATTTTCCGAAGAAAGTTCATTAAACAAAATGAAATTTAGTCGGTCGCTTGAAAAAATGAATTTAAGGTAACAGCTCGCATATTTTTGCCAAAAAAAAGGTCATAAATACTTGGACCAGAAATATAGTGCTTTTACAACCGACTCCCGTGGTTAACATTGCCTACTGCTTATTACTCCAAAACCGCAGCCCCTTATAGAACACCCTGTCTAGCAGACCCTTACCCCTAACAATTCCAGGACCATCCTAGGAATTAATATGATAATAACATATATAATAATAAAGTATGTGCAACACCAGCAGTATGGACAGGTACATTATCGTCCAAAAGACGCGCGCCTCTGGTCAGTTTTCCTCGACGTTTTACACGTATGTAGTCTCGCAATTTATGTGATAATGTTGCGTAATATTTACCATGACAGTGATATTAGTTTCTTTAAAATCTATCAAAAGAATTCCTTCACAATCCCAAAAGATCGTGGCCATCACCTTTCTTGTTGACTGGCAGACTCGGAATTTCCTTGGAGGTGCTTCACCCTTGCGACGCCACTCCATTGATTCTTTTTTCGATAGAGGGTCATAATAGAGAACCATACTTTCATTTCCCGTCACAATAGTTTCTATCACAAGCTTCGGTTCCGATCCACAGAGTTCCGAAAAAGACCGAGCACACTCGACACGGCGTTGTTTTTGAATAGCCAAAAGGTTTTTAGGAGCCCATCTTGCACTAACCTTATGCATACCTAAATGACCATGCAGGATTCGATGAACACTTGTATGAGAAAGCTTAGTAATTTCTGAGATTTTCTTGACCTTTAAACGTCGACCACTCAATACCACCTCTTCCACAATCGCAACAACATCTTCCGCTATGACCTCCACTGGTCGACCAGTCCTTGAATCATCTTCAAGGGACTCCTGCCTTATTCGAAAACGTTTTGCCCATCCTTTCACTACAGAATACGAAGGAGAACTTTGGCCGTACACACCATCCAGCCTTTCTTTAATAATTTTTATGACTTTATGACTGCTCTATACTCAATTTGCGTTATGTGCGACATTTTTTAGGATATTTTGTTTAAAATGCTGTCAATAAAAAACTATTTGACGCAAGACTTCAATTTGTTTTCACAGCCTACTAAGATATATATTTAAAAGAAGACAAAGTTTTATCGTGATATTGGAGCTGCATATATGTCAGGCCGCTAACCTCGTACCTCTTGCCGAATTACGTTTATGTTACTATCACTAAATTTTGGTGCAGTGTTATTTCTTCTTATATGCGCTTTCATCTAAAACGGGTTAAATATACAATGTCACATGTTCGTTTTCTTGTGATTGCGAATCGATTTTGTAGTCTTTATTAACATGTTTTATTTTTAATAATTCCAGAAGTTGGTTTTTCGTGTAGCCCTCTTTATTCTTTAATTTCTTCTTGATTTGAAGAACTATTTGGAATTTTTCTAATTTTGGGCTGAATGATACGAGGCATTATCCAACACAATAACAGTATTTGGCGATAGTTTATTTTCAAATCAGTCCTTAAATATTTTCACAACCTTCAAAAACCGTTTAATTGTAAGATTCTAATAAATATTTATCTGTATTCTTATGACGTACCTTTATCTGCAGCGAGTAGAATCTATACGTCTTAAAAAATACTGTTGTTGTTTACAAATCGAAGAACTATGTAAAAGACAAAAAAATAAAAGAAGAAGAATGTTGTTAATCGACAGACACACAAGACAAAAATGATTATTTTCAAACTTACCTGTAAGATAAATAGAGTACAGGTACTTACCTTTTGAACTAGCCAGTGAAAACAGCCACGCAGGGTCAAAGCTCGAGAATCAGTTACATAAATACGTACTTACTGGAAGGATCATAATCATTAAGTAATTACTAAGTCTCAGTACCAAACAACACATAAATCAGAGTCCAGGCACCACTCTCTATGTTAAGGGAGTTCCTGGAACTACAAGGAGAATTGCAACAAAATACGTCAAAACTGCGTTCCAATGTGGGCAAAATATGAGAAATTTATTAACGAAAATCAAATCACAGAACATCACAGACAACAAACATCTTTAGGGGGCGGAGCTAAATGAGGGGCGTAAACATTGTCTCGGTTGACTGATTTCCATATTGGTGACAGGTAAAGACTTGAGTCGCGGTTAAGATTGTTAGGTTGATTATAGATTTCTATAGACTCTCGGATTTTTCGTGATTGTGTTCGGCAACCGTTGATGAGTTTATTTATCTTAGTCGTAATTCTCTTTCATGTTCTTTGAGCATAGTTGATGTTTTTCTTCCTGTCTCTCCAATGTATTATTTGCCGCATATGCATGGAATGCTGTAAACTCCTGGCATCTCAAATGGAATTTTGTCTTTGACGGATCGAAGATTTTAACGTTATATTTCTTTAGAACGTTTGATATATGGTCAGTGATGTTTTTTATATAAGGAAGGACAACAGTGGCCAGTGTGGGATTGCTTTCGGCCTCATTGCTATTAGAAGGTTAGAAGGTGTGGTGAAGTGTATTTAGTGATGGAACGCTTAATATCTTTAATTTTGAAATTATTAGAGAGAAGAGCAAAGGTAAGGTGTTTTAATTCTGGGTTCAGTGACTCGGGCTGAGATAGCAAGTTAGCAAGTTCGACTCAACAAAAACCGACACTGGAGGGATCCAGAAGTTTTATAAAAAGTATTACAGTGGCCTATGGAAGTTTCTTTGAAAAATTAACAAGCCTCTTATGTAGATAATTGATTTATAATGGATGTTTTCCCAGTTTGCTATTGGTTAATTTGTGGGGGTTGGTGAAATCGGAATATGCTGTCAGTTTTGTGAAAAATATTGTTTTAACAACAACAACATTGACTGTTGCCGAAAAACCTTACGTGCGTTCGGAATTGGTTTTTTATTACAAAACCATCAACAAGAATAAGAAAAGAAAGAAAATAATGTCATATTTGGATTTTATATTTATAATAAATACTTTAAAGAATGGATTTTTTACTGCATGGACTAATAATAATAGAGGAATCTCACAAATGCGTCAGCTTTCGGCATTTGTGTGCCGTTCTCGAACGTCATTGCAGAATTGCGAATCTATTTATTGAATGTTATAATACGACCAAAAATGTGCTGCATTTATTGCTTTGACATTTTGGTTAGCTAAAATATCCAGCTAGTCTAACTGTGAAAAACGAGTAATAAAAGAAGAAAATATTTATCGAAAACGAATAGTGGCGGAATTGATCACTGAACTAGGTGACGACAGTAGCGATAGTGACGATTTTTTAGTGATTGATACTTTGTTATTATTGCATTTAATATTTTGTATATTAATAATGGTACTATGTAGAAATCTTTGAGATAGAACGTAATAAATTGTTACTTTGCATTAATTTTTTTATGTACATGTTTGTTAGTATCTTGTCTGCTCGGCAGGGTGTTCTATGCGGGACTGCGTTCTGCAGTAATAAACAGTAGGCAAAGTTAATCACGGGGTAGGTTATAAAAGAACTATATTTTTGGTCGAAGTATACAAAGAAAAATCCAAGCGAGGTAGGCCTGTGGTTAGACCTTCACAAAAATTTAGCTAATTTAGCTTCGATATTAGGGCTCAGTTTTCACTAGTGGTACTTTCTAGAATGTCTTAGGGAATGGAAGTTCGAAAGGCCAGTATTGAGCAGCATCTCCAACATTGCCAAAGTTGGAACGGCAAAATTCAATATCTGAAAAATTCTTGACATCTGTGAATTCTCGAGATTTTGAAAACATTATAAATATAATTGCGAAGTCTGACAACACCGCCGTTACCATTTTTCTATTCTGTTTTTCATTTAAACTTTTTACTGAAAAAACGGTGTTGCCGTAACTCACTAATTGATAGAAACAAAATTTTGAAGTTATGAGACCTTACTAAATTCGACAAAACAAAAACGAATTTAAGCGAACTTGCTATATTAAAATTTTCGCTACTTTTTTTCGAGTCTAATGGAGTTTCCGTGACTTCTTATGCTTGTCCGCCTGTCCAAATGCTAAACTCTGGACTTAAAAGCTTTATAGGTTTGGCCTTTTGCGGTGACTATGACAAAACTAAAACACCCTGCCGCTGCTGATGTGCAAATCGTTTTAATATAACCGACAGATTTACAAGAAAGGCTTAATCGATGTCTCCAATTCTTTTATCTGGTCACTGGTTAAGTTCTTCAGTGGAGGCCTGGCTGGGCCAACGTTGATCGGGGTCAACGAGTTCATCGCGGCTTTCATGGTGGGCACCCACGCACCTGCGTTTAAAACAGCATTATTTATTGTTTAACCTCAAAAGATATAATTTGTCCTCACCATATACCTACTACCTAACCTCTATGAGAAAAGAGAGACGACTGTATTTATCGTAGTCTTTCCGCTATCTCAAATGGAATTTTGTCTTTGATATGTGGTGTGGTGTGGTAACCACGGCAGCATTTCAAAATATGCAATTTATACCGTAATAAAAACAATTGAACTGCCTTTTCAGTTTCAGCGGAAATAACCTCAACTTTGCTATTTTAAATGGAACACCCCGTATATATATTTTTTTGGACTCGGTTGACAATTCTAGACTCATTTTATATCGAAAATCGGCAGTTTTTAAAATAACGTCTTTCAAAAATATGAAAAAACGATGAGCCACAACAAAACATTTACTTACTCCTTATTGAAAGCGTAATTAAATAAAAAATCAAAAATATCGTGATCGATTTTTCAAATTATTGCAAGCAAAAAACGGTTTAATTTGCAAAATTGAAGCGTCCATTGTGCAGACCTACTTTTTAATCCTGCATCCAATTATGATAAATTCAACATCTATAAACGTCTGCAAAATTGAAAAGAACCTTTTTTTACGTTGTTAATAATCCTTTTGCACGAAAATCAATAAAATAGTACAATTCAATTCAAAATAAAATAACTAAATTTTTACCTCCATATAATGGCGTATGTTTTACTTAAATTATAATAGTCTTTTTTATAGTTTTAGTTTCACTGTATTCAAAGAGAATATGGCAAGTGTAACGAACACGCATAGTAGGCCCACCTGGACGTACCATCGTGGGCCCTGAGCGCTGTCAGTTCTGACGCGAGTGTCAGTCGGCAACGAGTTGATATAGAGATTTTACCGCGTATAACCGTTTAAATTCTGTTTTCATCCCAACAAACTGTTCCTACCCATTTATTATAATAGTAAATACCGTTTGCTTGAGTGCGGATTGTTACTGTTAGCACTTTACTTTGTAAATAGTAATTTAGTAAATAGTATATTTTTTTAAAATAATGATACCCGTTACACAAAAATACAAAAATTCCTTATCATGTGCACTAAATATTTACTCGAATTATCTAGCAATTAAAAGAAATCGTATCCAATTTTACTTTTTTAACACCCTGTATTTCGAGACCTAAACGATATTAAAAAAAAATTATGCGGCATTTAAAATTAGTTGAGAATTCGCCTCTTCACTTTTCTCAAAGAGGTTAGGAAACATCTGTATAGAGGCCTTTTAGAGCTGTCAGGAAAAAATGTCAATACGCGCATGCGCGAGTTATTTCGACACATTGCCGCAATTCAATTGTTTCCGACATTTTTCCGGCAGTATCTTGTTAGATTACGTTCGAATATTTAAATATTGGCGCGATCTATCGATTTCGGATGCGTCGGGAAATCTTCGGGTCTATTCGCGCGCGTGAGCCGGGACGCCGCAGAGGGTGGCGACGGGCATCAGTTTTGATGCCCTGCTCTGGCATGCACCGCTCGACATTGACGCCAAGATCGGAAAAGTCGTCTTTAAAACAATCTCGATTTATTTAAATCTAACATCAGGTGTGGGGTACACGTGTAATCGTTTAACGTAATTTGGAGTGTGCTATAATGGCCGAAGAAGAACTGAATCGATCTTTGGGCGCCATAGCGTCGATCCTTGAGAATTTGCAACAGCGTGTCGGTACAAAGGAGCCGTCGCCGACATCAACCACATCGCCAGCCACCCAAACCACTCCCATTTCGTTGGCCTTGCCGAGTTTTGACCCCGACAATATGGATAGTGGTATTTGGTTACAAAAAATTGAAGGGTATAAGAACGAATTTGCTTGGTCAGATCGGGAAACCGTGAGTAGAATTGGTCCATTTTTGCAAAAATCTGCACTAAGATGGTTTTCGGCATGGCAACCCACGGAAGAAACGTGGGAAAATTTTAAATTTGACTTTTCTGTATCTTTTCCCAAACAAAAGAATTTGGGTAAACTGTTAAGCGATGCTGTAAATTATCGTAGTTCCGATGCGCGCAGTTATGTTGAATACGCGAGAATTAAATTAGAAAAATTAAAGCGCACGCGGGCAAGTTGGTCTGATTCGGATTTGATCGAAATAATTGCTCATTCAATAGACGATCTTGCGGTCAGAACTGCGGCCTATAATTGTAGTGCCGCCTCTGTTAGTGATTTAATTGCATTTCTCTCTAATTACATAAAAATTCCTCTGGTCGAAAAATCGGCATCCGAATTGAATAAGAAAAATAATGTATTTTCACACAAAAAAACGACGCAGGCAAATTGTTATTCTTGCGGTCAATCGGGACACTTTTCTCGCGATTGTAAATCTAAAACTAAGAATACCAATAACTCGGATAATAAAGGGTTTGATGTTTGCCGATATTGTAAAAGACCTGGTCACGGCATTGAAAATTGTTTTCGTCGGCAAAATAAACAAAGTCGAGGAAGTGAAGTTTCAGAGTCCGGACAGGACCCAACCGTAAAGAAATTTAAATCTCATCACGTTTTGCTCAATTCACATAATTTTAATGAAAACAAGTTAAAAACTGTGCCTATCGTTATTTCGGGTTACACTACAAATTGTTTAATTGATACCGGCTCCACGTGTTCGCTAATAAAAGAAACGTTGGTAGACAAATTAAATCTAAAGAAAATTCCGCGTGTTACTCCTTTACGATGGTTCGACGGTACCATACATAAATCTTTTTCTTTTACCAAAGCATTGGTAGAGTTTCCCGAAATAAAAATAACGCTTGATCTTGTTATTGTGCCGCATAGTCATTCCAAATATGACGTTATCGTTGGTGAAAATGTTTACGAAAATAATGTAGTTTTAATAAAAAATAAAAACGTTCAAAAAATTATGCCCATGCTTGCGCTTACAAATTCTACTCGAACCATTCATAACTCGGAAATAACAAGTGATCTGGAGCATGCAGAAATGGCTGAACTAATCAAACTGCTGGGGAATTATCAGAATTTGTCAACTGCTACTGATTTTACCATTAAACCTGTCAATACCGGGGAATTAACCATCACATTGACAGAAAACAAAACTGTTTATCACCATCCCTACCGTATGTCGGAGTTTGAGCGTCAGAAAGTACGTGGCATCGTTGCTGATCTAATTAAAAACGAAATCGTCCGGGAGAGCAATTCTCCATTTGGGAGCCCGATTATACTCGTTAAGAAAAAAGATGGGACATTTCGATTGTGTGTCGATTATCGTCATTTGAATAAAATAACTTTAAGAGATCGGTATCCATTGCCACGTATTGACGATCAGCTCGATCGTTTAGGCAAAAATAAATTTTTCACGTCACTTGATATGGCTTCGGGCTTTCACCAAATCCCGATTAATCCCGAGTCGATTCCAAAAACCGCTTTCGTGACACCGGATGGTCAGTATGAGTATTTAAAAATGCCTTTTGGACTGGCCAATGGTCCTGCGGTCTTTCAGAGAGCAATTAATATGGCTTTAGGTAACCTAAAATATGACACCGCGGTTGTTTACATGGATGACATAGTAATACCCTCCATCACACTTGAGGATGGATTTTGTAAACTAAAATTAGTTCTTGATGCTTTGTCTAAAGCCGGATTTTCAATTAACCTTCGTAAATGTCGATTTTTTATGCAAAACATCACCTATTTAGGTCGTCAAATATCGGCTGATGGTATCCGACCTGATCCGAATAAAGTTAAAGCAGTCAAGGAAAGTCTGTCACCCACTAACGTGAAACAAGTGCGCCAATTCATCGGTTTGGCGAGCTACTTCCGTAAATTTATTCCCGCTTTTTCTTCCAAAGTAGCTTGTATAACTCACTTGACTCGTAATGATGTTCCCTTTGTTTGGACGACTGAATGTGAAAAAGCAAGGCAGTATGTTATTGATGTCCTTACTCAAAAACCCCTATTGTCAATTTTCGATTCAAATTTAGAGACTCAATTGCATACTGATGCGAGCAGTATTGGTTTCGGTGCTATTTTATTGCAGAAACACAGTGATACCTTTCGTCCAGTTGAATATTTCAGTCAAAAAACCAATCCAGATGAAGCTATGTATCATTCGTTTGAACTAGAGACTCTGGCCGTTGTGAAAGCTTTAAAAAATTTTCGTGTATATTTGCTTGGATTAAGATTCACTTTAGTAACTGATTGCAATTCCTTAAAATTATCTGCAAGCAAAAAAGAACTTAAGCCGCGGACCGCCCGCTGGTGGGCTTATATGCAGGATTTCGACTTCGAAATTGTTTATCGTAAGGGCTCTGAAATATCTCATGTTGACTTCCTTAGCAGGAACCCAATTGAAACTGTAGCTCATATCGATTCACAACCCAATTTTCATAAAAATTGGCTTACCGTATCACAAAGTCAAGATGAGGAATGTAAACAAATCATTCAATCTTTGAACGATGCTAAAGATGATGTCAAACGAAAATATAAATTAGAAAAAGAGACCTTATTTCGTATTACAACCAATAAAAATAACAAATCGTCTCAGTCTTTACTTTTTGTACCATCTAATAACCGTTATAGTCTTTTGAAAATATTTCACGATGATCAAAGTCACATAGGTTGGGAAAAAACTCTTGCCTCAATCAGACTTTACTTTTGGTTTCCCCATATGACCAGGTATGTTAAAAAGTATGTTGAACACTGTTTGATATGTGCAGTACGAAAAAATCAGACGGGTCCTAAACAAGGCTTCCTTACTTCTATCCCAAAGCCCGATGAACCATCCCATACAGTTCATGTCGACTGTCTGGGCCCCTTACCAGGTAATCCAAAAAACTATAAATATATCCTTGTTATAATTGACGCCTTCTCCAAATTCTGTCTCCTATATCCTCAATCCACCGTTACTACAGAAGAAACAACACAAAATTTTGCTAAATTCCTCAGCATATTTGGCACGCCCTCCAAACTAATTCACGACGCTGGAACTAATTTCATAGCAAAAATATTTAAATCATTTACCGAATATTTTGGCATCGAATTACACGTGACAACCCCCGGTGTTCATCGCTCCAACGGACAAATAGAACGCTATATGCGAACTATTACCAATTTGTTAAGAGTTGAATCCAATAAAGTAACAGATTGGCCGAACAAAGTATGGAAGATCCAGTTAGTAATCAATACTACGAAACAAAAGACGACTGGTTGCTCACCTTTTAAGTTAGTATTTGGTCGAGAGGGTCAAACGCCTCAAATTCGTACAGTCTTAACCGATTTGCCAATCCCTGATGAAACTAAATCTCCAGTGGATTATTCCGCAGTTATAAAGAAACTACGGCAAAATTCAGAAAGGCAGTTGAATTATCTAAATAAGAAGCGAAGAGACAATCAGCTGTATAAAGTAGGTGATACTGTTTTGTTAAGCCGAGGTCAAAGACCTGAAAAGTTTTCTTGTGAATTTGTTGGTCCTTACATAATCAAGAGATCACTTACCAATAATCGGTATTTGATTAAGAAATTAGGTACTCCGAAAACTTTTAAATGTTCTAAGGATCAGTTGCGGCATTGGCCTACTGATTGGACGCCTGACGATTTCCAAAGATTATTACAACTAGACAATTGTAAGTACATAATTTGACTTGTTGTGCCGTGTTAGATTGATTTGAGTTGTGTATATAAAACTAATTTAAATAGTCTTTGGAGTATTTTGTGTTTTGATTTTGTTGTTTGAGAGCCCATCGCAAATACGTGCTTATTGCAGTATTTCCATCGCGCTGCTCAAGTCAACTCTGTGTTTTGATTTTGTTGTTTGAGAGCCCATCGCAAATACGTGCTTATTGCAGTATTTCCATCGCGCTGCTCAAGTCAACTCTGTGTTTTGATTTTGTTGTTTGAGAGCCCATCGCAAATACGTGCTTATTGCAGTATTTCCATCGCGCTGCTCAAGTCAACTCTGTGTTTTGATTTTGTTGTTTGAGAGCCCATCGCAAATACGTGCTTATTGCAGTATTTCCATCGCGCTGCTCAAGTCAACTCTGTGTTTTGATTTTGTTGTTTGAGAGCCCATCGCAAATACGTGCTTATTGCAGTATTTCCATCGTGCTACTCAAGTCAACTCTGTATTTGTAAATGCGTGCTTACTACAGAATTTCCATCGTGTCTGTCAGCTTGTGAGTTATTACGTAAATCTAGTCCCAATTGTTTGTGAAATTCATTTGATTGATGAATTCTCGTTTTTTGTTCATTACAGGGAACTCTGGGACGGCTGATGATAAATCTGCAGAATGAAAGGTTTACGAATTTTTACCGATGTACACATCTATATATTTTAACGTTGCTGTAAAGAAATAAAACTTTGTTTTTTTTCTGTGTGTTCATGTCTGTGACACTTCAAATGAGTCATGCATTCCGAGAGCGGAATGTTGTCAGTTTGGCCGTGTTAGATTACGTTCGAATATTTAAATATTGGCGCGATCTATCGATTTCGGATGCGTCGGGAAATCTTCGGGTCTATTCGCGCGCGTGAGCCGGGACGCCGCAGAGGGTGGCGACGGGCATCAGTTTTGATGCCCTGCTCTGGCATGCACCGCTCGACATTGACGCCAAGATCGGAAAAGTCGTCTTTAAAACAATCTCGATTTATTTAAATCTAACAATCTTGTCAATATATACACCGATTCCTTTAAATCTTCAAGGAAAAAGCAAGTTAGTGGGGGACATTTACCGTTTTTCGTTATCACTTTGCACGCGGCGGTCAGTTTATCCTGCAGCTTCCTCGCCTCTTCTAACTTGGACGATTGTACGGCTTTGAGAATTTGAACTCCGAATTGAGGCAATATATTTAACGATGTGGCGATGGACGAATCGAAACCTTGAGTAAAAGCGCCGGCCATCAGCTAAAATCAAAGGTGCGTTAGGTAAGGCCCTTAGCCCTTAACTTGCTGAGATAGTACCGAATCCGCACCCAAAAAGACGGCGAATTTACCTCCCGCTGCTTTGGTTGCGTCGTATCCAGCGGACAGATCATTCGAGGTGTACTTGATGCCCTTGAACGAGGGAATCTGATTGCCGACTTGATTTAAGAAATCCTCCATATTAACTAAAAATAATCTTTTTCGAGCCAAATTTCCTAAATAATAAAAAAATAAGAACTAAAAGTTCAGACTTTTAGTTGTTATTGCCTCAGTTCCCTTTCCATTGTGGAAGCGTTTGCTACCTTTTTTGAGAGTGTATTTCTCCCTTCCGGTCCTGAGTGTACTCTTTGTAACGTAGTAGATTTAAACTAAAGCGCTGAGAATGAAATAATAAAGGCCGCAAAGAAATTAAAAAATAAAATGACCCCAGGACTCGATGGAATTCCTTCTTTTTTAATAAAAGATTGTATTAGTGTCTTTTCCAAGCCTTTACTTAAAATATTTAACCTTGCGCTATCCTCCAAAATTTATCCGCGATGTTGGAAGAAATCCAGGGGTCTGTCCAATTTTTAAAAGTGTTGAGAGAAATCGTGGAACTAACTATAAATCTATCGCAATTTTTTTAAAATACTTGAGGTCGTTCTGTATGACCGTATTTTTAACTCTGTCAAAAGGATTATCTCTCCAACTCAGCACGGTTTTTAGAACTCCCGCTCTACAGTTACTAATTTGGTACAGTTTACGGAGTATGTAGCAAGGGTGCTTGACAGTCAAGGATAAGTAGATGTTGTATATACCGATTTTAGTAAAGCACTCGACAAAATCGTTTTGGATTTGCCGATGGTGCGGTGATGTTTCTCAGAGACACAGTACATATCTTACAATAAGTATACATCTGATAGATATTTCACAATATCAGGGGTGCCACAGGGTTCATAACTTAGAACCATTACTATTTCTAATTTTTATTAATGACGTTGTTTCAAATCTCAATGACACGCGGAACCTGTTATTTGCGGATGACTTAAAAATTTATACTTCCATTTCCAGTATTGCTGATTGTGTTACGTTGCAGAGATCAGTAGATATACTCGTTCACTGGTGTATCTCAAATGAATTGAATCTTAACGTAGATAAATGTAAAGTTCTAAGCTTCACTCGTAAGGAAGAAACTATCTATTTTCAATATAGAATCTCAAATATTGTGCTCCGACGTGTTACAGATACTAAAGATCTGGGCGTGCATTTCGATCAAAGACTTGCATTCGTGAACAACATAACGAGTATTGTGTCTGAGGCTAACCGTAATTATGGTTTTACAGTATGCAATAGCAATTCCTTTACCGACATTGCTGCTTTGAAGTTGCTGTCATAGTTGGGCAGTCGATGGTGTACAGAAAAAGTTTTTATGAATTTTACTTGGAAAAATTTAATATGAATACCCTGGAATGTAGGCGGAAGTGTGTGTCAGTCATCTTTGTTTATAACTCGCTACACAACATTATAGATAGTCCGAATCTACTACAGTATTTAGATATTCGTGTACCACGGCTCCATTCGCGCACCACTGAGTTCGGGCAAGAACAAACCTATTAAAAAATTCGCCTATAAATACAGCATGTTCCAATTGTAATTGTGTTTCGGACGTGTGTGACGTATTTAACCGTGGACTGAGGGAAGTGAGAAATATATGTCTGATGTCTAGTCGTCGCTAGCTCGAATCAAGATCTATGGTTATCAAACTCTTGACTGGAACCTTCGGCACTGTACTAACACACAATAACGCGTTTTACCACAATCCGAAACTCAATTTTACGTATTCGATGCGCGTTTTTACTCCAGAACCCGTAACCATTCCAGGACGGTTCTAGGAATATATCTATCTAACAAGCGGGATATAAGACTGTTTTCAATCTTTCGGCGAGCAACTCTTGAAACAAGTACATAAAAAAATTAGTACAAAGTAACAATTTATTACGTTCTATTTCATTACATTTCTACATAATATCATTATTAATATACGAAATATTGAACTTAATAATAATAAAGTATCACTCACTTAAAAAAATGATCACTATAGCTATTGTCGTCACCTAGTTCAATGATCATCTACGCCCCTAATCGTTCTCGTTTAATGATTGCTTGGAACTGAAAATCCATTTTCTTGAAAAAAGTATGCAACAACTCTTTGGCACAACTAATTTTTACCAGCATTTGCAACCATTTTTCTCAGAGTAGACTTCATGTCAACTTCATGGTCATGTCACTTGCTTCTATTGCTGATCCTACTTCCCCTTCTGAATTTCTTATAGAATTGTAAACATTCAAAACAATTTGTTGGGCATCCGAAGACAAATGGATCCGTTTTTTTATTTGCTGAGGTAGTTCGTCTTGTAAATTGTTGTTAACTTCGACTACCATCTTCACTTCGTCTTCCAATTCAAAAAAAATGTTGGGCTCGACTACTAGTTCGTCTTCCAATTCTGCGTTGTTTTCCATGTCTTCTTCTACCAGGGGAACATCTGCTTCATTCCACGGTCTCCACATTTTAAAGTGTTAAAAAACAGGAACCTTCAAAAAATGTTACCTTTATCTACCGCAAATATAATCTACGGTCTTATAACAGAATCGAAGAACTATGTAGAAGCCACAAATATACAAGAAGAAGATTTTTTTTAATCGACAGGCACACAAGACAAAAATGATTATTTTCAAACTTACCTGTAAGATAAATAGAGTACAGGTACTTACGTTTACCATTTGAACTATCCATTGAAAACAGCCTCGCAGGATCAAAGCTCGGGAGTCAGGTACATAAATACGTACCTACTGGAAGGGTCACAGTCAAATACCTCCGTAATTTATACGAACATATTGCAATTTAGATTAAACTCTTAAGAAGGTTACATATCACCCGATGTTAAAATAAACGCCTCTACTTATTCGAAAATACCCCGCAGCATCAATGCTTAATCAAATTTAAAACGATCCATCTCATGCAAGACCTACTTTATGCAAGTAAACATATGTTGTACTGTAAAATACTTACAACGACAAATCAATAAATACACTATATTTTTGGTCGTATTATACCTATTTATGTATGTATATTGATGTCGGAATATTGTCATTGTCATTAAATATGAACATGTTTTGTTGGAATTTAATTGTGTCAAAAATATACCAAATACCAGACAAAACTTTCGACTAGGTAACTTTAAATGAAACGCGATATTACCATTGACGTTGGACCACGCAGGAATGTGATAGTACAGCAGGGGAGTCTTTGGGGCCGCTTGTCCTATATTTTTCAAGTAGTCGATGAGTTCTTGAGGATTGGTGGGCTTGAAGTACAATTCGGGAAGACAAAGCAGCGAGTCGGCCCCGATACTTTCAGCGTGTTTGGCTAGTCGTATCGCATCCGGTAGCGGACAACCTCCTACCTGCACCATAAGGTGTTGCTTGGTCTGCTTGACCGCTTGGAGCCACGCTTCGGTTACTTTCTCGCGTTCTTCGACGCTTAGGGAGACGCCCTCGCCCGTCGTTCCGTGAACTAAGAGAGGAAAAGAGTTCCTTGATGACAGTTAAGGTTTTTTTTTTAGTTGCTATTTGTAGTAGGTGCGATATGGCCGTTGTCAAATCAGAAAAGCGTTTTTCGACTTTTTAGAAGTCTTGTGTGTCATTTACACTAATAAATCTCTCAGTTATGATTAGTAGCACCCTCTAATGGGATTTTGTTAAAGCTGCCCAACTAGCCTTGTTATACTGTGAATAAGTCATGTTCGTTCAGACGTGCGGTTAGATGGCGATATGTGAATTGTATGGTTTATTGTGATATTTTACCGATATTCGATAAATTTGTTCACAATTCATTCATTCATCATCCAAATAATGAATATTGAAGAGAAAGTCCTACTGGTTCGACATACAAATATGGTGGTCGGTTTAAGAAGGGCCTATAACGTATCTCTAAATCTGTGCGTGTTATAAAAAAAGTTTGAATACCCAAGTTGTTTTCTGTAAAATAATCTTTATTTTTGTTGTTAATATTTCAATTGTAATCCAATCAATAGTCAAATAAAATTATATATTTCTTAAATGCATTTTACTGCATTTTTAAATACCTCTTTAAAAGACGAATCCAACGATACATATAAATATCTGTATATCGAGATTGAAGTGATGTTCGAAAGGTTTTCGTTACTTTGAGTATTTTACAAAGTAATACTTTTTCTCAGACAATATCCAAAATTTCTATCAAAATGCGCGATGTTGCAATTTTTGCAAATCAAACACCCTGTATATTTTCGGATAGCCCTTTAAAAGACGCATCCAACGATATACAGTGAAAACTCCCTTTATTACCAACAAAATTTGTTGTAGTATTAGGTCGCCAAACAAAGCTATGTATTAATCTACTCTGTATAACGAATTTCTCATTCCTTATACCGAAAGAAAAAAGGGCGCACTTAGGCGAAAAATTTTATCTCTAGATGATAACGTTGCTTTAATTCGGGAGATGGAACGAAGGAAAAAGAAAGGTGCTGTCGGACGTCGATACGGACTTACACCGTCGACTGTATCCACGATTTTGAAGTGCAAAGAAAAAATCATTCATGCTGAAGCGACAGTAAAAAACTAAGAAAGCCAAAATTTGAATATTTGTTTAGGGCAATGTTGCAGAGGTTCCAACAGCAAAGTCTTAAAAATGTACCAATCTCTGGACCTATCGCAAAACTAAAAGCAGAAAAGTTTGCTGAACAGCTTGCCATTATCGATTTCAGGGCTTCATAAGGATGGTTGGGGAAGTTCAAACAGAGACATGGTATAAATTATGAACGTCACTAAAGATTGGCTGGAAAAGACGTAGCCGAAACTAGCAGAAAAGTACCCTGCTGATGACATTTTTAATGCTGACGAAACTGGTATTTTTTGCAAAACGAAGCCAGTTAAAACTCTTAAATTTAGAAGCGTAAAGTGTGCGGGTGGAAAACTTTCTAAAGAACGTATAACAGTGTTAGTAGCTGCCAATATGAGTGGGAGAGAAAAAAGAAAGCTGGCAACCATCCAACAAGCCCTATATTCAGTTAAGCTGCTAGATAAATTTTTCATGTATCACGGGGAAAGAAATGGTGAAAATACAAGCTAAAGTACGAGATGCGTATTGGCATACCAAAAAAATTCAAAAGAAAATGACCGATAATTTACATTAAATGTAGTTCTTAAATATGTATATAAAATGTTCCTAAGTAGATGTTAAAATATGTATATAAAATTATTAAATATTACAGAACACATATGCGTATTTTTATTTTTTAAGTGCCTATAACTCTCTGTAATGACAAAAAAAAGCAGTCCTTTCAATTTCGCTATACAGAGTTTCGACTGCATGTGAACAATATTAACGTAATTAATTACATTTCTTAGTTTTTTGGCTTGGAAAGGGGTTCTAATATTTTTTTTAATGAAATTGCTGATTATTTCAAATACTTTATTCGAAAATAAATAACTGAATAAATATTATTTCATTTAATAACTTTAATTTAATTTAATTAATCATGAATCGATAATGACGACATCAGTAACATTACATAATCGAAAAAATATGCATTACTGACGCTCTGAAAATACTCTAAGGGCAATATTTTATGAAGACAATTTGACAGCAGTGCGATTTTTAAATTTGTTTATTTTTATTATCAGTCAATTTTTAAATGGCAAGCTGAGACAACGGATTTGGCAAAAGCACACCATCTGACCAGCACATAGCCCGGATTTAAACCCACCGGACTGCTTTTTGTGGGACACTTTAATAGAGATAGTGTGTAAAAAATAGCCCATAGAAGTTTTTGCATTACAACAAATTTAGGTTGCAATTAAATGCGACCAATGATATATTAAATGAAATAAATAATTTGGAGGAAATACTTGCAATATTCAAGATGATGGGCAAATGTTCGTTTTAAAAATAACATAACCTACAATCGATATAAAAGTTTCATGAAAAAATATGAGATATATATAATAAAATGATATAAATATATAATCCTAAACCTATCTACCCTAAGGTATAAGGTACGCTTTCCAAATTAGCGTTAAATTCAAAACACAATGATCATATATATCGTTGGATTCGTTTGTTTTAATTTGCGAAACATTGCAACACTGTGAAGTTCGCCGGTTACCTGGGCTATCGCCCCATCCCAGCTATCACTGCTGAAGAGCAAAACAATATCGTCGGCGTATGAGACAACTCTTCTCTTTATATTTAACAATGTTAGTCCTTTAATATACAGACTGAAGAGTGTCGGTGCCAGTACTGTGCCCTGCGGTATGCCTATATGTATAATTTCAGGTTCGCTTATTGCATCTCGAATTATTGTTTTTTGCACTTGTTCTCATTGATCTCATCAGTCACATAAGACACTAGCTCCCGCATTGCATCGCTCGAGCTATGTCCTTTAGTGAACCCAAATTGGATTTCTGAAAGGAGGTTATTAATCTTAGTAAGTGGTTCATTTAAACGTTTTTCGAAAATTTCCGCAATGTTGCTTATCAAACTGATGGGCCTGTAATTTTAACCAATTTGGGATCTCCCCGCCTTAAATATTGGTGTAATAATCGACATTTTAAATTGGGTTGGCACATCTCCAGTAGTGTGTTTAAATGGTGCAATTATAAGATTATGAAACATTTTAATATCTTTTTTGACATTATGCCGTCATAGCCGGGGGCACCAGCGGACTTTAAACTGTGAATATGTTTCACAAGGTCATTGTCACTCACGGGTTCCAGATACATCGACCCGCGGGTCTCTGGAAAGTCAAACGCAATATTCTTGTTCATTTCTACGCTTATACTTGCAAAGTGCTGGTTACAGAAGTTGGCCATGCTAATATCCCTAACAAAACTCTCATTATTGTGGTTTACAATTTGGAAATTATAGGTTGATTTTTGACTGATTTTTCAACAACAGTATCTGAATTTAACAGTGATGATATAAGCATATTTTCGTCAGCGTGTTCTCAATGTACGTCGAGAAATGAGGCGTGAACATCGCGGTTTAGAAATAAAATGATGCAAAGTGGAGTTTAGTGTATTAAATTTAGGCGCATGTCCGCAAAATCATATATCCATAGATATTAAATTACCCGCAAAAACTTCTAGGATACATAAATAAAAAAATATTTCTATACTACACATGAACATTTAAAAAATGTTTAGACATATGCTATATTATAATTTACTATCATTTTGAATCTTACAGTATTTTTTTGCTACTAAATATTCGAATTATGACGTAACCCTCATGTGATGCTAAATGCTTGATGCGATGATTATATTTTGTGTTTAATTAGCTAAATTCACACACGGAGTTTATTAATTATATTTAAAATTATATTATTTGCTTGCATATATAGGTGTTGTTTGGAAAGAGCGCATACATTTACATTTTCACGAAAATATTTAAACAGCACACGTAGATAGGTAAATAGCGTGGTACACATTAAATATTAGCATTGCATTAAGTATTTGCTCACGCTTAGTGGCGGCCCATGCCAACAGGAATTAAAACTTAAAATAATACTTACCCAAAACCCCATTAATTCCCGAATCGAGAAGAAATTTGGCGTATTTTGGAATTACGTTTGTGTTAATGGATCTAGGAATAAAAAAAAAGATGCAATTCAAAAGACTCATTGATTTATACTTACAAATCATTGTTGAACGCGGTAAATACAGGTGCAATTAGTCCGCGAAAATTGAAACTAGCCTACAGAAATAACAGGAAATATTTTATTATTTATATTTATAAGTTCAGGCAACTATATTATATAATCAAGAATCCACTCTTACCATTTTCTTTTTCGCTTTAAGTCGGTCTGCAACTCGAAAAGAACTGGAATGCTGATATTGGATGTTATTTCGAAACCTCTAAATTAAACTTTTAATAACAATTCGCGTTTGCCACTGATAAGATTCACAATTAAATTGTTTTCCACTCGACATACATATATCACAAACAAAATGATAACATTCTTGTTCCAAGTTCGGGGATAATAATTTTTTATTGAAAAATAAAAAAATGTCTTTCAAAATGTAGATACGCAGTTAACTTCAAGAAAACGAAACGCAGGCTTCCAGAATGATATCGGGAGTTGTTTTGCGCAATTATTAGTATAAAACAGCGACTCTGCCCGAGATTTTCGACATATATCAAAACAGTTTAAATTTCGCGATTTTCCGGATAACTATAAACCTCCAGTAATATTTAAAATTCGTAAAATTAGAATTACAGTGACGTAATAAAATTAAAAAAAAGGATTAACAAACCCTTTGCTTTTTGGTATTGCTGTAATGTCATGGATAATAAAAGCAAAACGAAGAAGACTTTGACATTTGATTCCGTCCGCCGTTTTCAGGTTATAAAAATGTTGATCCACGTAAACATTTAAAAAAAAATTATTTGAACGCTTGAAAATGGTACTAAAACGCGTAAAAGGTTACCAAGGCATAGATGGCAATACATCGTCTTCTGGCGCCAATACAAAAAATGAGTTAGTCGATCCAGACACAACTGCTCCTCAAGAAATTGAAATGGCATCTGTTTCGGTGGTTCCTGACGGTAATTTGCTTTTAAATTATTTAATGCTCCGGTTTATGCTATTAATAATTCATTCCTAGACACCTATACTGTGACGCAAGCTGTGAATGCTCTAGGATTCGGGTGGTTTCAAGTTAAACTCTCCCTATGGACAGGTCTGTGCTGGATGGCCGATAGCATGGAAATGACTATTTTATCAATATTGTCGCCTGCACTGCATTGTAGCTGGCACATATCAAGGTCGGTTTTTGTAATCGATATGCGCCATAAAAAAAAAGCATTCTAGGTACCAACAAGCACTCACCACCACAGTCGTCTTCCTTGGAATGATGCTGTCTTCAACATTTTGGGGAAATTTGAGCGATAGATATGGCCGTAAACATGTATATTTCCTCCCGTTGATTGCCCATGGGTAATTGTTTTTAATTTAAATGGTTTTAGGCTCTTAGCCTGTGCGCACTCCTGTTATTTTATTATGGGCTTCTTAGTTCTGTAGCACCCAGTTTTATGTGGATGCTGCTATTACGTGGATTAGTAGGCTTCGCAATAGGGTGCACACCTCAATCGTAAGTTAACCAAAATCCTCCTATTTTGTTTAACTAGTAGTGTTCTGTAGTGTTGAGTTATATGTTTTAGTGTTACTTTGTACGCAGAGTTTTTACCTACAAAACAAAGAGCAAAATGTGTTGTCTTGCTTGATGTAAGTTCTGATCACAATTAGATGCTTGTCTAATTGTTAATTCACCGATAATTTGCAGTGTTTTTGGGCATTGGGTGCATGTTTTGAAGTAGCTTTAGCGCTCGTTGTCATGCCTACCTTAGGTTGGCAATGGCTGTTGGCATTGTCGACTGGTCCGTTACTTGCTTTTGCATTGATTTGCCCAGTAAGTATGACGATTTTGGGAGAAAGGCACGCTTAATTTATATCGTTCTGGGGTACTGTAGTACACTTTGTAACCTTCAATATCGATTTGTTGATTCAGTGGTTGCCCGAATCCGCAAGATTCCACGTCGCTAGCGGCCAAACAGATAAAGCTTTGGAAACATTGGAAAAAATTGCCAAAGACAATGGCAAGCCCATGCTACTCGGAAGACTGGTTGTAGACGATGCGATGATGTCGTCTCCACATAGAGGTCGTTTCAAGGATTTATTGGTTCCTTCCTTGAGGTTAACTTCATTTCTCTTATGGTTTATATGGTAATAAAGCACACCAATTTAGTCTATAATAATGAACCATGGGGTGAATTGCATTTTAGGTGTTCCTGCGCCTTTTGTTATTACGGTCTGGTCTTGATGACTACGGAGTTATTTGAAACTTCAACTCTGATTTGTTCAGAGCATCCCATTCCGATTCAGTCTTTAGATACCTGCTCCGCGGATTGCCGACAATTACAAACCACCGATTACATAGATCTGCTCTGGACGACCCTGGCGGAGTTCCCGGGTAATTTTTTTAAAAATCGGTATTGCAAATATATAAAAATTGTCTTTTATAGGGATATTTATTACCATTTTCATAATAGAAAAGTTCGGTAGGAAGAAAACGATGGCCTCTCAGTTTGTTATTTACGCGATATGTTGTTGCTTCTTGGTGGTGTGTTCCGGAAAGTAGGTTCAGGGAAAATGGTACAGTTTGCTGGAATACATGAAAAAAAAATTTTTTTAGGCGCCCATTGCTGACCGTAATGCTGTTTCTTGCCCGTGGAATAATAGCAGGGGTATTCCAGGCTGCTTACGTGTACACCCCCGAGGTCTATCCGACTTCCTTGAGGTCTATAGGGGTGGGCTCATGTAGTGCTATGGCTAGGTTAGGTGCTATGTTCACCCCTTATGTGGCACAGGTGAAATGACATTTCTAGCATGTGATTTGCATCAAAAATGCCATTTTTTTAGGTTCTTTTAAAATCATCGGTCACTTTAGCGACGTCATTATATGCTTTAGCGGCGCTTCTGGCTGCTATAGCATGCATATTGTTACCCATTGAAACGTCCGGTAAAGAACTACCGGAAAACGTTCAACGGCATGAACCAGAAACGAGAAAATAAAAAGTAACGGTTGTAAAATAGCTTAAGGAATAGTTTTCTATTTTTCTTACTCATGTCTAATTTATTTCTATTTATTCTCTGTTATAAGTTACCAAACGTCACACCAACATATTCGAGACTGATGTACGAAATAGTAAAATTCACTGAAAACAAGTAGTTATTTCTTAAAGAAAAGATTGTACTTAGTTCTAAAATGGCACTTTCCATTGTCACAAAAAAGTAATCAGGGTATAAATTTTAAGATAAAAAGAAGCAAATAGCGACAGAACAGAAATTGAAAAATAATAAATGCTCTATTGTTATGTGCAAAGAAATCTAAAATAGGTTATTAGTAATTTATTTAATTATTTTTATTGCACTGCTTAAATTTATTGCTTTTTTATTACCTTTTAATGACACAATCTATACCAAAGTACGAAGCATAATCCTAATTTATTTTTTAAAAGACTTCTTGTGATAACTGGTGCTGGTTTAATAAAGATTATTTATACCACAATTTTTTTTTTTTTCAAGAACTATAACCATTTCAAAGTCTTAAATAATTAAATTTACCTTCACGCAAATTTTAGGGGAGGGATCAAAAACAAACTCTCTTCATGCATAATAAACAGCATATATGTAAAATATCAGTTAAGTTGCCCAGGTGCCATTTTTGATCTTACAGCGTGACCAAATTCCTGAGCTCCCTTTTCATTTACCTCGGCATAGCTCGGAATTGCTAAACTGCACCTGGCTATCCAGTTTTTCACATTTTTGTATGCCGAAATATCCCAGCCGACAGCCTAAAATATGTTCTATTATGATAAAGTACAAGAAAGGTATAAGATATCACTTACAACTATACTAGCCACTGAAGCAACTAATGAACAATCAGCTACAGTCAGTTTGTTCCCCGCTACAAAATCATTTCCTTCAAGGAAAACATCTAAAAATCCCAATGCTTCTTCCAGCGGTAGTTTGTGTTCATCGTATATGTGATCTTCGCCAAGATACAATATTGGAAACTGAAATGTTCCTCATAAGAACTTTCATTTCTACAAAATATTTGACTTACACATATGGCTCTTATTCTAGGATATAAAGTTCCACAGTCAAAATACAATCTCTGATCTACGATGGCTCGCTGTTTCGGATCTTCCGGATACAGGGAATCATCTTTGCCATATACCCTTGCTAAGTAGGGCCCTATGGCATGGCTATCCCACAAAACAAAATTCTCGTCCACAAGTGTGGGAACAGTGTGCTGAGGATTTAACTAAAACCTTTTGATTTAATATTAACCACAACATACTTGTAGGTATCGTTACCTCAATGAATTTTGGGCTTAACTGCTCCTTTTTAAATAAATTTAAGATCTGAACATCTAGGTCTACATTAACAGCTTTCGCGGCCAATAGAGCACCTCGAGAAGGGGCACTTGGCGGGAAATGGTAAAACGTTAAAACCATTGGTACCTTAGAGAATTATGTTGTATGTACTGGAGTAATATTTAAACAACAAAACAACTTTCACGTTAGAATGAAGGTTAAGGTTTAGAAGATACTAAGGTTTTTTCTTTTATTTACGCTTTATTTGGCCACTGCTAAGGCAATTCGGCCAGAGATAATAAGGTTTTTTTTTTTTTTATTTACGCTTTATTTGGCCACTGCTGCTAAGGCAATTCGGCCAGCTTCTCGGTAGTGGTGTGCAATAAACTATTTCCATGAAGGATGCCTCCGTAAAGAGGGTCTGGGTGATACCATCATCCTACTGGACGGCTATACAGGAAAAAAAAAATGGACGAAAGAATTAGAAAATGTGAAAACAATATTCAAAGTTTTAATCCACATGCATCTAAAAAGCGGCAAACAATTCTAGCAGCAAAATCCAACTGAGTGCGGTGAAATAAAATGGAATTAATATGCAGAGGCGAAGGAAAATTAGCACTAATGAGTGACTCATACAACTGTTGTGATTTTTCCCAATGAAGAGCACAATCAAACAGCACATGACTTAAATCGCCCAGTTCTCCACATTCACAGTCTCCGGAGAGTTTGACTTTGATTCTATTTAGGTGAGCCGGAGAACAGCAATGGTTGCTTCTCAGTCTACACATAGTTGTGATTTCTCTTCTATTCAGGTCGAGCTTATGAAACCAGGGTTTAGTTGGCGGAGTAGAATAATGTGAGGTGAAATTAACTCCTTTCCCTAATCCTATATGTTTCCATCTGTCGCTCCAAGCATTCCAGATGTTATGCTTTAATTTAGGGAAGAATTCCCTAAAGCTCAATTTTATATTTTCCTGTGGTTCCAGGCGTGCAGCATTGGCGATCTGGTCCGCAATATCGTTTTCTTTTATACTGGTATGGCTTGGTATCCAACATAATTGGATGTCCTTATTTTGCGTTTTTATTAAGGTAAATAGTTTATTCTTAACCTGCAAGGTTAGGTAGTTAGACTTTGCATCCATCCCAGTTTTATTGATATCTTCGAGGGCACTTTTGGAGTCTGAAAGGATGACTGCTTTGTTGATGTCCTTGAATTCAATCCAATCAAGAGCTTGACCAATAGCATATATCTCGGCAGAGCAAATGGATAGTTCACTTGGTAGGCCTTGTCCCATTTTAAGGTTCGTATTGTAGTTGTAAACGCCAAAACCTACTCGGCCTTCTTTATCTTTTGAGGCGTCTGTAAAAATTAAATGAAAATCTGGGGTCCAAGTCTCGCTCTTCTTAATTTCAAATAATTTGGAGTTATTATTATCTTTCTTTAGTTTTAAGTCTTGGATTTGAACAGAGCTTAAAAGGTTCTGCAGTGGGCAAGAAAAACAGGGATAAACTGGGCTCCTGTAAAGTGTATCTAACAGTGAATCAACTCTTTCAAAAGCATCCACAAGTGCAGGAATACTCTTTTTCCGAAAAAAGTAATAGTTTTCATTATAGGTGATATATAACCATCTAACCGCAGCTAAGGTTTCACTGTCCACTAAACTGGCAGCTTTCAATAATGATTTAGTCGCTAGCATGTATCTTCTGTGTTCTAAATTCATTTCACTTGCTTCCCCTAGAAGTATGTTAGTAGGTGTGGACTTCATATATCCCAGAGCTATTCTCAGTGCCTCAAATTGAATTTTGTTAAGTTGAGCAATAGACTTTCTTGAGCTACCACCCAAAAAAGAGGCTCCATAATCCAAATGGGGTCTAACATAAGCTTTGTAAAAAGTTAGAAGGGTAGAGGGATGTGCCCCCCACCAGATTCTACTTATAAATCGCATCATATTCAACCCACCTGAAGCTTTCTGTATCATATTTCTAATTTGTGACTCCCATGACAGTTTTGGATCAAAAATCACTCCTAGATATGTGATGGAATTTGACCATGCAATGGTTCGAGTGTTGAGGTGAAGTCTGGGGAGATAATTAACCTTGAAATTCTTCCTGGAAAAAAATATAGCTGCAGATTTATTGGGGTTAATCTCAAGTCCTACATTCAAAGACCAAATATGTATATTTTGCAAAGTTCTATTCAAATTGTTCACTATTGTTTGGGCATCAGTCCCAGTACTCAGCAAGGCGGTATCGTCCGCAAACTGTAAAAGTCTTATGTTCTCAGGAATTGTTTCTTTGATTGAATTGATGTAAATATTAAATAGTAATGGAGAAAGAGGGGAACCTTGGGGAACTCCCTTGCTAGTGGTTCTGCCTGACACGAATGTATTAGTAGATGGATCTTTAACTTGTATCTTCCTGTTCGTGAGAAAATCTTTAATGAGCAAAGTCAAATCTCTGGCGATTCCAATTTTGGCCAACACCGAGGTCAATAAGTCAACATTTATATTATCGTAGGCATTGGATATGTCCAAAGTCACCATTGCTGCTAGTTGATTGAGAGCCAAACGGCAGAGGACCTCTGAGGAGATAACTGCAAGATTGTCGAAAGTTCCCTTACCCTTTCTGAAACCGGTTTGGCGAACGTCTATTAAACCTTGGTTCTCTACGAACCATTCCAGTCGGTTTTTGATCATAATTTCAAAAGTTTTGCTTATGCAAGAAGCTAGGTTGATGGGCCTGTAGGACGATAACGCTGAGGGGTCTCTCCCCGGTTTAGGAATTGCGATCACCATTTGGGTTTTCCACGTCTCTGGAATGGTGGTTTCCCTCCGAAGTATTTTGTTGAAAAATTTGATAAGAAAGACTGCTCCTTCAACAGGGAGATGGCTGAGCACACTGAAAGGTACTTTATCCACACCGGGACTCTTGCTCTTCCGACCTTTAACGGCCGCGACAAATTCTGAGATATGGAAGTCTTCTGTATATTCTGATGAGAAGCGACATTCGGGGATATTAGGCAACCTAGAGGGAGGTTGCGTCAAAAGATCAAACATATCTTGTGGGATTGAGAAATTCAAGGGAAAATGATAATTTTGGTACCTGATACCTTTAGCAAACCTTCTAATACTGCTCCAAACTTCTTTTGCACTAGTATTTGGAGATAGATTCTCACAAAAGTTGACAAAGCCTTCCTTTTTCTTCTTACGTAGCAGCTGTCTTGTTTGTGCCCGGGTTCTTAATGATTCCAGGAAGTTGGTCTCAGAGGGGTTGTTTTTATAGTCTCTGAATGCTTGTCTTTTCCTTTTAATAGCGTTGGTGCACTCATTATCCCACCAAGGTACCCCGTAGTTTAATGAGTGTTTATGCATTGGAACAGATTCTGCAATAGATAGGAAAATTATATTCATAAAATCCTCATAATTTATAGGAGGTGAAGTTCTAAATTTCGTGGAGATTAAATCAGAAAATTTCTCCCAGTCTGCCTTGTTGAAATTATATTTGCTAGTGTAGTTTCTTGTCGAACCTGAGTTGCAACGGTTATTTCCGATGATACACAAAATAGGAAAATGATCGCTATTCACTCTATCCTGGAGAACCCTGCAGTCAGTAAGTCCAGACAGTCTCTGGGAGCAAAAAGCTACATCTGGAGCGCTGTGTACGCCTGGGCGTGTGAGCCGAGTAGCTGATCCATCATTTAGTACCCACAAATCGTGATCCTTAATGAAATCATAAAGAATGTTCCCACTTCTAATTCCCCGTGAGTAACTGACCTGGGAACCCCATATTGGATTATGGGCATTAAAGTCTCCCATAACGAGGACGGGTTTATTACGGGTTAGATCGAAAATTGAATCGAGGCTTGCCCTGACCAAACAAATATCTGGAGGGTTGTAAACACAACAAATAAAAAAATCGACAAGCTCTACAAGAATAACCTGACACCTCTCTGGTATATTAATTCTGCTTAAGTCGATGATATTATATTTTATTTTGTTTTTCAAGAAAATTGCTATACCATCTGCACCATTAGGTTTATCTGCTCTTACAGAAGAGAACCCTGATATTTTAAAGTTAGTGTTGGGTTTGAGCAAGGTTTCATTGAGCAATAAGATCTGTAGCTTAAAATCCCTTATAACTCTAATGATAGCATCTTTATTTTTTTCAGCCCCGCAAATGTTCCAGTGAACGATATTCATTATAGCTCAACTATAAAACGCTTGTGACTAAAACTTAAACTTAGTTTTGTTACGTAAAAACTACTGTTAGATTAAAACTAGTGATAAGATTACCTTTGCTTTTTCTAACCCCTGTAGGTCAACCGCTGCCATCGCAGCCGCCCCCCCTCCGTAGGTCAAATGAACCAAAATATTGTTTGATATTGTTGACACAATTTTCATCCATACCCTTTATTGACATAACGTCTTTTTTGAAAGCTTCAAACTTGTTGCATACTTCTTCCCAGCCATTTCCTACAGGAGTTACTTCCATTTCCGATTCTGATGTCGAGTTTTCAACTACTTGTATAGATGAGACTTTTCTTCTTGCACTTGAGGGTAACAAAGTTAGTTCATGGGCTACTTTATCATACCCTTTGGTAAATTGGGTGTCAGGCCGTTTTCTTTTAAGTACTGATGTATATGAGGAACAGCCCTGAGGACTTGTTGGATGAGGAGGTTTATTCTGAGTTTTTTTATTTAAACTAGGAAAATCTTCTGGTTTTCGGGTAAAGCCTTGGTTTGCATTAATTAGCCGTGGATGCAGTTTAGCTGCTTCATAAAAAGAAAGGTTGTAGAAGCTCATGGTTTCGTTAATTTGTTTTTGCCGTTTGTATTCGGGACATCCCCAGTCAGTAGCAGTGTGGTGTCCCTTGCAATTTACGCAGCTTGGTTTTGGATTTACTTCACAATTTGGAATTTTACACGTTTTAGTCAGATTGTTAAGATGATCTGCAGGGCATTTCATTTTTTTCATTGCTTGCTCTCTTTTTTGACAAACAAACATAAGATGATCTTCTGTACAAAAACCGCAACGAGGCTTGCCTCTACAATTATTTTTGACATGTCCAAATCTGCAACAATTGACGCACATTATAACCGGGTTAACATATTTTTCCACTTCTCTTTCATTATTAAAAATATTTACAGTTTGGGGTAATGATTTGCCTTCAAATGTTACAATATAATCGTTTGTGGGGATGGTTTTCATTACTGTTTCACCAGAAATAGCAAGTATTTTCTTCCTTCTTAAGACTCTTTTTACATTTAATATCTTAATCAACCTGGCCCGGGATCCTTCTCCTGTATAAGCTACCGCTTCTGAGTAAAAATCCTCTTCCGTAATTTGGTCCCCTACATCCTTGATTAGTCCTCTACAAGTGACAAGACGTTTAAGAAATTTAAGATCTGAACATCTAGGTCTACATTAACAGCTTTCGCGGCCAATAGAGCACCTCGAGAAGGGGCACTTGGCGGGAAATGGTAAAACGTTAAAACCATTGGTACCTTAGAGAATTATGTTGTATGTACTGGAGTAATATTTAAACAACAAAACAACTTTCACGTTAGAATGAAGGTTAAGGTTTAGAAGATACTAAGGTTTTTTTTTTTTATTTACGCTTTATTTGGCCACTGCTAAGGCAATTCGGCCAGAGATACTAAGGTTACCGCGTTCTTCTTCTTCTTTTCTTCTTTTATAACTTCAGTGCTAATCTTCACGATTGCATTGAATCCGAGTCCACGTAGCAATTTGGTTTTCGAATAGAATAAATATAATAGAACATATTATTTATTAGCAACAGCAAATTAAAAATAAAACCTCGTGCGTTGCACCTACTACACACTGGCAGTAAAAAAGAAACGGAGATAATTTTTAAATACAAGATATCATTACTACGCATGTACTCGAATATGCGCCGTACTGAACTTAAAAGGCTCGCATTTTTTTCTAATTCGAAATTTCGCGATACCGGTCGCAGTAATATCGTGGAAAATATGTTGAGTACTAAGTGCTTACTTTTTGCGATCAAATGTAAGTAAAAAGTTTATATTTTAAAGCATCGTCCCTCTGCCCTCCCATTCTCAGTGAATCTTAGGTGATTTATTAAAATATTATCCGTAAATCTAATTTTTTAAACATTATATATTTTGAAAAATCAATGAAAAGATTCAGACCTATTTCTAAAAAAAATGTGTTATGACGTAGTTGCATCATTTCATATAATGTTAACTCTAAAAGTATTAGTGTAATTTAAAAAAAAAACTTTTTTGGTGCTTTTTTTTCATATTTATTACATTTTCGTCTATAGAAACCGACTATTTTTTAATCAAAAAGTTATTATTAAACTTTTATTCAGTTCCCATTATTAAATTATATTATTAAAATAATATTATACCCGCTAACTTGCAGGCCTGATGACAAAGCCAGCGAGGGCTATTTATAATTTGCGGAAAGTGTTGGGGATTTCATACTCGATTAGGTCCTTTGATCGGTGGTTAGTTAACATAATCAATACCACGGGAGGAATAAAAACCATTGGTATACCGCTCTCAGTGGCGCATCAAAAACTAACTTGCTAATGTGAAAATAAGAAAAAAATATAAAACACAACACGGCAAAATTAAGTTTTCCGCGTTTGTAATAGTAGTAAAAAAATCTGTAACATAAAAATTGTTTCATAATGGTTTTGCTGATAAATTCGTTTTAATTAATATCGGTTGAACTGTTTAATTTACGACGTCAAATAGCGTTTTTCAAAAATTAGAGACTTAAGTCGTCATTTAACTTTAAAATGTCATTCTATTACAAGAGACATTGTAGAATTACTAATAGCTTTATGGAAACACAATTCAATTAGTTTAATATTTGTAATTTTGAATTTTTGTAAATCCAATAAGTAAGCTTTGTCGAATAAAAAGTCTAATAATATACCCGCCATTTTTTACTCAATACTCTAAAATTTTGTGCTATTTTGCAAAAATATACCCAATAACTAATAGTCCTCGATAAAGTACAACATATTGATAAACTTCTTCAGTCACTCGTGACTAAAACTAAAACTAACCAAACTTGTTGCATAATATATTAATATTATGCCAGTGCGGTAAACAGTATTTGACTCACGAGTGAGTGACCCGTTAGTTTATTGATACTTTTTCGCAAAACAACAAGAATACATGCACTGACATGACTGTCAGAATTGACAAACGTCAAAATTCAAAGCGTGGGAAATATCTCCGAAAACATCCGATTGCTCTCAAATCCGTGCGGTAAAATCCCGGAAATGTCCGAAGTGTCTCGGATTTCTGGGAAATGAAACTGACGTGGTAAAGCGACGTTTCCCGCACGCTCGATCGGTGGGCAATTAGGCATTTTACAGACGGGAGCAGATAAAATTATTTTATATCTACCTGTGTTTAATATTCTTGGTTTGGTATACTACTTAGTTTAAGTTTATTAGTAATCATTCTTATTTCGTATGTAATACAGCGTGTGTTGAATCGTGTGCGAATTGTGCAAAATATGTGCGAGTCTAGTGTATCTCAGGAGATGCTCCTGCCCAAATGTAGAAAACACTATTCTATTGAGACTAAGGAAGTTACAAACAATGTTTATTTGACTCTCATACCATGAAGACACCACCGCTGATTTATTTGAAAGTTGGCTTAAAAACACAGTAGACAGTTGACTAAAACCCCTTCCTCACGTGAGACAAAAGCAACAATCCAAAACTACATGTATAATAACGACATTTATTTTCACGAAGATTATACCAAAAAGCAATTAATTGAGGTTCTACAAAAGGAATACGTCTGTGATTATTATGCAAAAAATCTTTTCGTATTAACTCCAGAGCCCTCAAACTTATAGAAACCGAAGTTTTTAACATCCCTTCACAAAGTTGGGCAAATTCTGTTAAATATATAGAAAAAGCAGAACAACCGTATATCCATATTGCAAATAATATAGAACAAATAATAATTAGTCATAGTGATACTGACATATTATGTGAATAATTTTAAGTAATTTAAGTAGGTAATAAAAATAATTTGTAATTTTATTTTAGATTGAGACATAAATACGTACATAAATAAATAAATAAACATTGTTTAGTATCTTTCCTAACAAAACCCCAAATAATTAAATTCTAAGCAAAGTACGGACTTGTTCGGCCATATTTCATTCTTACAGCTTGCCCGGGTCTTTCCTTAATTCGTATGAGTTAGTCACTTTCTTATATCTATGAACAGACTTTACCCATTACACTAATAAGTTCTTCATTATATGTGCGACACTGGTGAAGCGTAGGCATTACTATGTCCTTTAATTATTTTTTTAATAAACAATTAGATAAATAAAAAGATTTATCGGTGTTTTTGCATGATTTATTTAGTTTACGGAGATGGGAACAAATAAATGGTTCCAGTTCATCCTCTCCACATTTCAATGAGAAATGTTTACGGGGACAGTGGCGGCGTCACGCTTTTGCTTACGTTTCTTCATTTTTTTGGCCTCTTTCTAGGGATTTTGGTAACTTTGTAGGGATGAATGTGATAAGCGCAATTCAAATCAATTACGTGAAAGTGCCGGTGGCCGTGAGGAACGACACGAAACGGCCAGCTACCCTGGACTGCAACTATTCGGTCAGACCGGACGACACCGACTTAATCGTAAAGTGGTACTTAAACGACGACCTCGTGTACCAGTGGATCCCGCCTCAAAAACCACAAAGTCTCGGTATTTTAAAGGTAGATCCGGGCGGCGAGTTTAAAACAAAAAAATAAAATCAACAGAGGCGCGCGTTCTTTTTCAGGATAATCTCGATTTGGATTACCGCGCCACTGACGACCACAACATGGCCTACAGGGCAATGAAGATTATGAATCCCACCACCGATATAGCGGGCGAGTACAAGTGTCAAGTTTCGACGATCGCTGACGAAGACTTCAGCACGAAGAACATGATCGTTTTCGGTAATTTCATGCGAAAAACGTTGATATAAGTAAAATACGACTTTTGGGCGGAGGGTATTCTATACTTCGACCAGAAATATAGTGCTTTTACAACCGACTCCGTGATTGACTTTGGCTACTACTCCAAAACGGCAGGCCGTTATAGAACACCCTACCAATCAGACCCTTACCCGTAACCATTGCAGGACCGTCCTAGAAATTTATCTACCTACACTAACAAACAGGTATAAGTATGTTTTCAATCTTTTTCGTCCATATCTACATAGTATCATTATTAATATACAAAATATTAAATATAATAATACTAAAGTATCAGTTCAATGATCAACTACGCCACTATTCGTCCTCAATAAATATTTTCTTCTTTTATTACTTGTTTTTCATAATTAGATCAGCTTTGTACTGATATTAAGCTGCCTCTTGCCGAATTACTGCCACTAAATTTTGGTGCAGCGTTATTTCTTCTTATATACGCTATAAAAATTTCAAGTTTGCACAAAAAATCGTTAATTTCCATCGCAGGGAAGATCTACTTAATGGAGAATAAACATATGTTGGGATGGGTTTTACCACGGTCCTGCGAAGGTTACGCGGCTAAGTTACTGTAAAACGGCAAAGCACTAAAAGCACTACGATTACGAATGGAATTGTCAAAGAGATGCACGCCACTGATTGTTTTTGCAATTTTTATTATTTGCTTTGAATAGGCCACGAAAATTGTTATTTTTTTGATTTGTTTTCTTATCTTGTCACGTTCTCCAGCGAAAACATAACAATAATGAAAATTGTCAAAATCTATTTTCACCAATATTTATTTTTTAGACACATTGAAACCCAGTTCTTAAAAATTAAAAATTATGACTATACACTATATGTTTTAGAAAACACGCGAAAACGCTGGGAAGAAAAAAACAAAAAACGTTGATATAAATAGAAAACGAGGTATCAAATAATGTTTTTTTTTTAATTATTTTTTTTTACAATATTGTGTGTCCTATTTTGATAAAGTTTAGCAACATTATCTATAAAGATAAAGGGCAAATTTTGTTTTAACTAGATTCAAATTTTGAAGCCAGTACCGTCCCGGATGGTATTCTATCAAATGGTATTGTCAAAGAGATGTACGCCACTAATTTTTTTGCAATGTTCAGTATTTACACTCAGTTGTGTTCGAAGTGTTTTCGGAGCGCGAGCATTGAAGATGCCAAGTGAGATTTTGGCGAAACGTCTGCAGGATTCCAGTCGGATGCAAGATTTGCAGGATTCCAGTCGGATGCAGGATTCCAGTCGGAGTTCAACGAGCGAACGGATGATATCCCGGAATATAGTGTCATCATATATATATATATATATATATATATATATATATATATATATATATATATATATATATATATATATATATATATATATATATATATATATATATATATATATATATATATATATATATATATATATATATATATACCTCAATATATCCGAGTATTCCAGTAGAAGAGGCACTCTTGCTTATAGAAGAAAACGAAGATCTTCCGCCATACGTAATGGATTTGTCAAGACATTGCCTGAAAAACGCTTACTTTATGCACAACGGGAAAATTTACCGACAAATAGACGGAGCAGCAATGGGATCATCTCTCTTACCTGTGATTGCCAACCTCTTCATGATTTACTTCGAAAAGAAAGCAATAGAGAAGGCAAATCTGAAGCCTAAACTACGGACAAGATACGTTGATGACGTATTTGTTGTATGGCCTTTTGGCAAGGAGGAGCTTTTGAAATTCCTAGATCATCTGAATTCCATTCACCCAAGGATTCAATTTACAATAGAACTTGAAGAGGATAACAACCTGCCCTTTTTAGATGTGCACATCACAAGGACCGAAGATGGACACTTGGAACACACTGTCTATAGAAAACCAACACACACTAATAGATATCTGAACGCTAAATCTCATCACCACCCATCACAGATACAGGCAGTGGCAAATACATTAATTGCTCGGTCCTTCAGGCTCACAAACGAGAGGAACCGAGATAAAGAACTGAAGAAAATTAGTACCTGTCTTCGACAAAACGGATACCAAAGGCGCACCATCGGCAAGGCAATCAGTAAACAACAACAGCCGCAGCAGAGAGTGCAGGACGAGACCCAACGAAGATCGATCGCTGTCCTGCCATACATCAAGGGGGTTACTGACAAAATCGGCCGAATATTACGGAAACACGACATATCAACGGCATACAAACCTGACCATACCATCGGAGCAATACTAAGAAACCCAAAACAAAAAATTACTCTGGAAAACCAAGGAGTATACAGTGTAGCATGCGGATCGTGGAGCCTGACGTATGTGGGACAGACCAACAGAAGGATTTCAGCCAGGCTCGAGGAACATCGTTTAGCCATAAGAAACAAACAAACAACATCTGCTTTGTTTCAGCACCAACATCAGACAGGCCATAAAATTGATTTCGGCACTTGCAAACAAATAGCTAATATTCCTGATTTTAGGACTAGGATTATACGAGAGGCCATCGAAATAGAAAAGTCCGCACACCTCAATACGAGAGACGACGCTCTGCATTTATCCAACACGTGGAGAACGATAATCAAACAGCAGAGCGATGCGCAGCAGCCAACGGGGACATCGCAACTACGATCGGGCGAAATTAACAACGCGACAATTCAGGGGGCGGAGCCACCTCCCCCCACGCACAAGCAGCACCGTTACCATCTCCGGCGCAGAGTATAAATACCGCACGCACCGCCGATAACCTCCCAGTGTTCGAAGTGTTTTCGGAGCGCGAGCATTGGAGATGCCAAGTGAGATTTTGGCGAAACGTCTGCAGGATTCCAGTCGGAGTTCAACAAGCGAACGGATGATATCCCACCTTACTACCTGCTACTATATATACCGAGAAATGACAATAATACGTTAATTATTATTGTTGTGAGAATTTAAGTTTAATAATGGAGAGGTATTTAAATCTAATTGATCGTTAACCAATACATTTGAATATCTCATTTTGTTAAACTCCATGGCTTCCAATAAATTTAATTTCTACTTTTTGTGGCTCTATGTAAAATATCAAAATTGTCATTAAAAATGTGTTTTTCTGTGTTTTGAGTGTGTAGCATAATTAGAATCTAGACTATTGCTTTTAAACACTTTTTTATGTCCGTTAATGCGTTTCTTGAAGGATATATCTGTTTATCCAATATAAATTTTAGGACAATATCCGCATTTCAAGCTGTAGACACCTGATTTTTGAGATTTTGGAAATTTCGTTTTATTGTTTTTTTAAAATTTTCCTATTGTGTTGTTAGTTTTGAAAGGTATTTTTAAACCACATTTTGACAAATGTTTTCAAACTTTTTCACTGTGTTCTCGTATGTATGTAATTGTTTTAAATTGTTCGTGTTCTGTATTAGGTTTCGGATAAATAGAGTTTACCGTTGTCTGCATTTGTTTTTTATTTATAATTTTATCGATAATGGACGGATTGTAACCGGTGTTCAGTGCAATTTGTTTAATGATATTAAGTTCTGTATATAAAAGAGAATAAAAGAGTGAAATGCAGCCATTTTGTGTGATTCTATGTTATGTATGACTGTGATGGAAAAATCTAATTTGCTTTGCGTTTTCGTAATAAGTTAAGTCTAAAACATTAATAGAGTTATCTTGTTCGATCTCGATAGTGAATTTTATATTTTACATACAGCCACATAAAGTAGAAAATTAAATTTATTCGAAGCCATGGAGATTAACAAAATGAGACATTGTAAATGTATTGCTTAACGATCAATAAATTTAAATACCTCTCCACTATTAAACTTAAATTCTCACAACAACATTAATTAACGTTTTATTGTCATTTATCGGTATATATAGTAGCAGGTAGTTTGTAAATATTACATTTGATAAAGATACGGTGTTGTCGGAACAATTAAAATAATTTTTATATAATATATAATTTCGTGAAAATCTAAACTTTTAGTTCTTATTTATTTTTGTTAAATGAATTTTCATAAAGTAAAAGCCACCTCAGTTCCGTGTTAATAATATGTAATTGTCAAAACATTTTCTTTTCTTCATAATTATTTCAGTTTAACATGTATCTAACGTTTAAATATATATCATCAAATCCCTTTTTATCGACAGGCGTAAGGGTTTGTATCTTTCTATACCAAAATTCCAGTTATTCTTGTTTGGTCGGTTTACTTTGCTTTCTATCATTTCCTGTCTTCCTGTTTCTTCTGTTATTAAATAATTTGTGCCTTTTTAATGTTTCAGTTTAATATTTGTCCTGTAATAACGTGACAGACTGTTATAATTCTTAGTCCGTTTATTTACAGAGCCGGAAAAAAATCTAGCGATAAAGAAAAATACAAGAGGCGAGTTTGTAAACTTTACGTGTTTCGCAACGGACGTGTACCCATCACCGAAACTCTTGCTTTTCAAAGATCTCAAAAATGATTTCCACGGCAAGTGAGTAAGCAGACTGATTTCGGGTCTTATTTTATACTCTGCAAAATTTGCATTGTATTTATAATGATTAAGCATTCTTAAAGCAGTTTTTTTTCAAAGTTTTGAGCATTGTATTATAACAAACCATGTCGTTGTCATGCAAACTTCATTGTATTCGTATTTCAAGTACCATCAAATAAAAAAAAAACACGATTGGTCCTTATCAGCCGTTGCTCAACTTTTTAATGCATTCAAAGTAAATGGCTCAAAAATTCAAATAACACATTTTTACAATTACCTCCTTTCGTAAAATTACTATATTTTTCTTTACGTTTTAACAACGCCATTCATCAAATAAATAATTTAATTTATTAATATACAGTCGGTCAAAAAAGTCTCCGTACATATAATATCTTTTCAGATTTGTTTTAGTGTCTTCTTTCACTTACATTTAATGATAAATATATTTCAAGTAAATATCGGCAATCTCATTAAGAGTAATAAAAATAAAATAAAAATAAGGTAGTTTAACAAGCAAGAAACTATGTCCAATAAGTCTTCGTACACTATTATTTCTTTTGATAATTTGAAAAGTTTCATAAAGTCTAATATTGTACAATTGCCATATGCTTTTTGAAAGACGTAAAACGAGCTTTCTTGCAACTTCTGGCCATGTCTTTTCCCACTCTTCAATTATCCTATTTTTGAGGTCTTCTTTACCGGTAACTTGATGTTTTTTCTCTCGTCGCTTTAATTCTTCCCACAGGTGCTCTGTCTATGGGGATAACATCCGGAGATTGTGGTGGTGTGTGAAGTTGTTGGCGGACATTGTGGATCATCCAGTGACGTATAAGCATAACAGTGTGTTTAGGATCTTTATCCTGTTGGAATAAATAACGCTCTTCAAGGTTAAGTTTTTCAACACTTTGATTTAAATTATTCTTTAGGATGTTCAAATAGCGATGCTTTCGTCAATAAAAGCTCAATTGCTTGTCTCATTAGCGAACATTCACCCCTACAATAAAACAGTACCTCCACCATGCTTTACCATAGGACACACATATTAGTTTTCAAAGCTGTATTTTTTTCCCCCAAACTTTGTGCCGACCATCTGACCAAAAAGATTAATTTTTGGAAGCCGTGAAGGTTAACAAAATGAGACATTCAAATGCATTGCTTAGCGATCAAGTAGATTTAAATATTAAACTTAAATTTTCACAACAACATTAATTAAGGTTTTATTGATATTTTTCGGTATATATACTAGCAGGTAATTTGTAAATATTACATTTGATAAAGACACGGTGTTGTCGAAACAATTGTCATGCGAATATATATAATTTCGTGAAAATCTGAACTTTTAGTTCTTATTTATTTTATGATTTTTCGAAGCGCAATTGGAATTTCGCAATTTTTAGCTCTCATTTTGCTTTTACTTCAAAACCACTGACTTAAAAGTCAAAATAACCAAGTATAACATTTGTTTAATTTGATACAAGCTGACTTGATAAAATATTGATAATTAACGGTTCTACCTGCAGTTCTGAATAGCGATTTATGTGTCTCAAACGATTTTTATTTTATTTTTATTACTCTTAATAAGATATCCGATATATACTCGAAATATATTTCTCATCAAATGTAACTGAAAAAAGAAACTAAAAGAAAACTGAAAAAATACTACGTGTACTGAGACTTTCTTGACCGACTGTATATTATATTATCTATTATGGTTTTAATTTTATATTTCTATTAGAACGCGCATGTCCATCATGGAATGGGATGTCAAAAAAGATCCGGACACTGGAAGGTACACCATTTTCATTGTGGCCACTGAAAAAGTGTCGGAATTGGATTTGGGCACATTAATACACTGCGAGCTGAAAATTCCTGGCACGGGATACGTCAAAATTAAAAGTCTGCTGTATTATCCCGACAGTAAGTTACATAATTATCACAAAACTTTACAGCTATTGGAAATTTACCTGCAGTTAAAATAAGTCAAAAAATCAAAGTTATAAGTATGAATTTTTGACAAATTTCGAGGACAGAAGTACTGTGCAATAGGGAACTTGCCCATTTCTTTTTTTATTTTACTAAAATGTGTGTTTATATATGAAAACACATTATACCAAATATGAAGCCTTAAATCGCGATACTTACTTCACAATAAATAATTAAACTTGGAATTATTCAAACAAATCAGAATGAGCGGTAGGCGGTGTGACGTCACACCGCTGGTAAGTGCTCGGCCCGTTATAAGTATAACACTGATTGATTTCTTGCCAAATTTACATCGTTAGTCTCCGTTTTTAAGAAACTACTTGTTATAAACACCGTATAGTTTCTATTTGTACGAGTTCAACTTTAAAAAATTCAGATAAAACTTTCATTCGGGTAACGGAAAACAAAAAGCGAAGAATTAAATGACTAAAAGCATGCAGAAGAGGTGTAGCGATTATTCTACGAAGTGCACAAACATTCACATTTGTCAAGATCATGTGTGTATAAATGATATTAAATTTTTACTGGTGTTTGTACAGCTCATTATGTTTAAATGATATATAGAATTAATTTTATTTTCCGAAATAGTTGCAGAAAAATGAAGCATTATAATATCAATGTATAAAAGCTGGTAACGAGAAGTTAAATTTAATTTAACCACAAAGTTAAAAGTTGGACAACTTTAAAATTAAACGAAATCTTAAATTAAATTTTTAATTTAAAACTAAATGTCGAATTAACTCCCTGTGGCTATAAAGTCACCTTACATTACTACTTATACTTACTTGCTATCTTTCACACCACGAACATCGGTTTAAGAAAAATCCTCCGAATTTTTAATGTATGATGCAGCCATAAATATGACAACTTTGGGTAAATTGTCTGATTGTCCTTTCATAAAACTATTAAACAAAATTAAACAACTTTCTTCGAAAACAACTAAATACGAGGTTCTGTCAATGAGTATTGATTATTGTACGTGTTATTTTTATGTCGCAATACAGCGGTGTGACGTCACAACCAAGCAGTGCCTTTTCAGAGCAGGTAAAATTATTCAAATTTTAAATGTTTATTTTTCAGGTAATTTAATTCTGTTGGATTTTTTTTATGGAAACTTTGTTTCCTTCCTTTCTTATTTTTAGATACTGCCTTTTTGAAAATTCCCTGACCGAGCGGTTTTTTAAAGTAGGTATAATTTTTACTTTGGATAACCAAAAGCTTTTGTGAAAAGTGTGTAGGCTTTCGAACGGTAATATTTTATTGTCAGTGTATAATCTTTTCTGTATCTATTGGAATTAAAAATGTCATTTTTTGTATAACAGTACACCATGCTTATTTTAGATAAAAAAAACGTTTTTTTGATTGCAGCAACCTTGGCGGGGAAGGGTGAGCATTTTATTATGAAATAATAAATATTTTCAGAAATATTTTTAAACTGAATCGAAACTTTTTATTTGTTATTTAAATTTAAATAAATTGTCGCCTTCGAAGGTTTCGTTAGTTTTTTTTTTCAGGATGTCGTCGAGTATCCGACATGTTACTAATTACAAGTGTAATTGAGTTGTTGATTATTGTCTATGGACGTTTTGTTTAAATAAATTATCGGAGAAAATGATATTGTTTTTATGCTTCTTTTTAATTTGCTATCAAATATGTAAAACCATTAAGACAAAATAAAAGATTTTTTATTCATTTTTTTTTCAAAATGAAAGTTCTTATGTACACATAAAATGATCGAGAATTTTCTGAACACATTGTATCAAGCAGAAACGTAGATTTTCTTTTCCAGCTGAACTCAGAGATTTTACAAATAACTTTTCAGAAATGAATAAAAGAAAAAATTAATTTTGCAGTAAGAAAAAAATTAAAATGAAAATAGAACAAAAAAAACAGCAAAAAAAAACAATAATAATTTTAACGACAGTATCGGATAATTTAAACAAGTAAAAAAAAATACATTAGAACACTAAAATATAAACTTTAAAAACAGATACGTACATACATCAACAAAAGAAAAGAAAAAAAACACACAAAGTATATCACACTGAGAGATCATCAGAATCTTGGATCAAATATTGCTGACATAATCACATCTTGATTAAAAAGTGCTTTCGTTTAGGGATTCCACTAAATTTGTTGAAAATCGGCTAAAAATTTTGCTTCCATTTCACACTTCAGCCAGGCAGAATAAAAATCTCCAGCCAGCAAGTGCGGTATTTGAAATAATTTTGCTGTTTTTTTGCGGGATTTAAAACGTTTAAATATAGCTTTTGCAACGCTTCCGGCCGTGTCTCTACAGAAGTCTTTACGACGTATCATGTGTGCTGTGCCATCGTGTATTAAGTTTCATTGTTTTAATTATACTTAAAATATTTATCTTTTACTCATTTTAACTTTAACAATGTCACCTATGGAAACATCTAGTTACTACATTACTTCCATTTTCTTGTTCTTCATTTTCTCGAATTTCATTTTCTTTTTCTTCATTTTCTTGTACTTTATTTTTTTCTTCGTCGATAATAATAATATCGCGTTGCCGGTATAACAAACTCATCGCTTGCCCCATTGTACATGACTCCGCAAGTTTCCTGGATGATTTTTTATTGTAAAAAGGCTTAAAAATATTTTTAAATAAAAAAATTATATTGTTATTTTAAAATGTTACCTTTATATATAACAAGATTAAGATACGCAAACAGAAACACAATACAGACTGATACCCATAACTGAATGTAAACTTGTGTAAGAAAATATCGCGTGATCGCCTGGAAAAAATAATGGGTTCGGTTCTCCTACTTTATAGCGAAGCACTAGTGATGAGCGCGCGTAGATACTCGTGAATCTTCGGTAAAATAGAGGGAAATAGAAGTGGAAGCTTCCAGGGCCAACGTGACCCTTGCATCCCCGATATGTCTACTAGGAGTAGGTTACAAAAATATAAATAACAAATAAGAATTTCTTGTTCGTTTCCGTTTGCGTTCCTACTTTAAACGTAAGGCGCCACGTGTGAAGAAACTTCCTTCGATTTGTCACCGAGACGGCTTACCGACGACGTTAAAACGTTAATACGCGGCAATCTGTTGGATTCTAGGCCAACCACGATCGGAATTACGCCTATGGCTCCGCCATCGGCCCACATACTAAACCGATCCATGTAAAGTTTGTGTTCTCGCATGGAATATTGCGTCACATGAACGGACGCAAGAATCCCATCCGATTTTGGAGACGTTCTTAATACCAATAAGCCGCGACTATTTGTATTTCTCTACGACTGCGACCAAAACTGGCAAATATGCGAATGTTTTTCGACTCTGTCAGCCGGAAATTGTAGTTCTGTCACTTGCGACATTGATTTTAGCCAGTCGAAATAGAAAACTGACGCTTTGGTAGCGCGTGTATTTAAATTATAGCAGTGCAATAATATTTATTTACAAATCTTCTGGATACCGTCAAAATCAAACCAATTAAAACTAAAATTCTTCCTCCATTGAACTGAGGTGGCTTTTGCTTGATGAAAAACCATTTAACAAAATAAATAAGAACTAAAAGTTCACATTTTCGCGAAATTATATATTTTCACATGACAATTATTTCGACAACACCGCGTCTTTATCAAATGTAATATTTATAAACTACCTCCTACTATATATACCGAAACATGAATGTTGTGATAATTTAAGTTTAATAATGGAGAGGTATTTAAATCTAATTGATCATTAAGAAATACATTTGAATGTCTCATTTTGTTAATCTCCATGGCTTCCAATAAATTTAATTTTCTACTTGTATGTAAAATATAAAAAATTGTCATCAAAAATGTGTTTTTCTGTGTTTAAGTGTGTAGCATAATTAGACTCTAGACTATTGTTTTTAAACGCTTTTTCGTGTTCGTTAATGCGTTTCTTGAAGGATCTATCTGTTTATCCAATATACATTTTAGGACAATATCCGCATTTCAACCTGTAGACACCTAATTTTTGAGATTTTGGAAGCTTCGTTTTATTGTTTTTTAAAAATTTTCCTATTGTGTTGTTGGTTCTGAAAGCTATTTTTGAACCATATTTTGACAAATGTTTTGAAACTTTTTCACTGGGTTCTCTTATGTATGTAATTGTTTTAAATTGTTAGTGTTCTGTAATAGGTTTCGGATAAATACTATTGTCTGGCCAAACAGGAAAATCCTTCAAGAAACGCATTAACGAACATAAAAGAGTGTTTAAAACCAATAGATCGATCGCAGCAAGTGGGCCTTACGTATTCAACCACACAGCGAATTTAAAAAAAAAAACTTGGATCTACACCCATATAATGTCCAAATAACTCAGGAGTTGAAACCTCGAGATCATCAACAGCGCCGCGCGTTTGCAGAATGGATACGAGAACACGGGGTTCAATTCTCAACGAAAATTATCTTTAGTGATGAGGCACATTTTCACGTTGGTGGCTTCCAAGAGAGATTATTCAAAAAGTGAGTGTTTGCGCATTTTGGCCCTTTTTTTTTTCGAGTATAATGCGGAGAACGCTGTTACAGTTAATGGTGTTCGTTATCGAAACATGATATCTGATTTTTTCTGGGAGCAGCTGGAAGGTATGGACATTGAAGATTTGTGCTTCCAGCCGTTCATTTCTAAACATTTTCTTGTATTTTTAAAAAAATGCTGTCGAACGCGAAAGACAAACCATTTATTATTTTTTGTCGTGGATCATTGATAACTGTTATAGATGTTTCATACACTAGAGGCTTTAACTGCTCCAAAAAAAAAAGAAGTCTATCGGATTAAGGTCTGGTGAGCGAGGCGGAAAAACTAGAGGTCCGCCCCTACCTATCCATCGGTGTTCAAAAGCCTGATTTAAATACATTCGTACAACCATGTAAAATGGGGTGGAGCGCCATCTTGCATTAAACACATTGTTTTGTCTTCACTGCAAGGGTACCTCTTCCAGCAAAGGTGGTACTTCCTCTTGGAAAAATTGCAAATACATTTCCCCATTAAGCGATCCGTTAAAAAAATGAGGCTCTATAAGATCTATTATCCCTGCCTGTAGTATTGTATCTTTCCTTGCAGCGGTCCTTTTATACTTTATTCATGTTATCTGATTTGAATGATCCTCTTTCATCAAGTCTTCCGTGTATGTTTAGCAGATGGGACGTTTCTCTTGGGATACGCCTCGATATAAAGCCGCCGTGCTTGATCTGCATTGCGATTTGCTCTTCTATAGCAAAAATGCATATTAAGCTCTTTTAATATAAATTATTTTTTAACGGATTGTGACAATGACTTTTAAATTTCATTAAGTCCTGTTGTGTAAAAATCATATTTACAGGTAAAATTTGACAGATTTCTGAAATAATTTTATTTTGTAATGACTGCGTTAAAATTAATAAAAATGAATTTTATTAATTAATTAATTAATTACTGCCTTTATTTTACCACGTTGAATATTTCCTCCATATTTCCGAACACCCCGTACAGCATAATGACTCCAGCTTTGGTGAATGGCTTTAAGAAATTCTGTATAGTTAACACGAGTGTTTAGGATTCATGGAAACAGATTTGCAATTTAGTTTATCCAATTGTTATAGGGGACAGCTATTAGTTTCGCATTCCACATCCACTATCTTTTTTCAGCCCAAACCTCAGGTCAAGATTCTGCTTTAGCCACTGTAACGATATAGATATATTTAACTTAAGTATAAATGGTTTTAAACTGCAAATGAAATTAACTTTCCATTTTCGTTGTATTTATATTTTAAAATTTGGAAAATTTTAACCAATTCTACAGTAAAAGAAAACGTAATTGCGTTTATAGGTTATATTTTCATTTTCAATTAAATTATCTGAATCGTTTCATTTCTACTTCAAATACATAAAGTAGTGTTTCACTGCTTAGTAAAATGTTCGATGGTATGTCAAAACTAGTAAGCATTTATCGTATTCAGATAATACACGGAATATTCGAATTTGAAACATACTACGAAAAAACTAACTTTTTTGATTTAATGCAATCTTATAATCTTCACAATAACGTAAGAGATACAATAAGAAACCAGAATGGTTGTTCATCTATTCTTAATTTAATATTTACAAATTACTGCAATAATATCATTCAGATTTACTTAAAGAACACTGGTCGGCCGTCTGCAGTGGGTCCGGTGATATTGATAAAAAAATTGACGTTTTTTACTCTACTTTCCTGTGGTACTTTAACAAACATTTTCCTTTAAAAACCCGATTTCAATGTCTATACAAGAAATCATGGGTTGCCGCGTCAGTAAAGAGTTATAGCAAACACCTAAAAAATCAGCTAGTTTGCGCAAAAAGGCTGTATTTCCATCGAAAAATATAAATATGAGAAAAGTAAACATAAAAAATTAATAAATTTAATTTAATTTAGCTATGAGCGAAAAATTTTAGAGTCAGACAATCAAAATAAAACTGCTTGGTCTATTGTGTCTGAGATAAGTGGAAGGAATAAACGGCCAAAGAACTTTGAGATTAAGGAACCGGCAGCTTTAGCCAGTTTTATGAACAACTTTTTTATAGAAGCGCCGAATAAAATAGTAGACGAAATTAAGAAGCCATCTAACATGCACAAAAATTCATTTCTAGATGTAATTGGAAGCTTCGCTGAAAGTATGTACATTAGACCTTTCTCTCAAGAGGAAATATCGAACTTAATAAAAAATAAAATAAAAAATAAAAATTCTTATGGCCCTGATAGTGTGCCTTTTGTAATATTCAAAAAGTGTGCCGACTATATCCTGAGTCCATTGACCTCCCTGATAAATTCCTCATTAACAGAAGGAGTTTGTCCTATAGCCCTGAAAGTTTCGCGTGTGGCTCCCATCTTTAAAAAGGGCGACAGGCATTCTGCAGAAAATTATCGTCCAATAGCAATCACATCACGCTTTGTTAAAATATTTGACCGCTTGACCGATTATTTAAGTAAAAACAAAATGTTGTCTGAAAATCAACGTGGTTTCAGAAAAGGTAGATCAATCCAAATCAATCCATTCATTTTTGGAGCATGCTATAGGCTATATTGAATCTGGAGAGCACCCTGCTGGTATATTTTGTGATCTTAGCAAGGCGTTTGACTGTATGAACCACGAAATTTTTTTGAATAGGATGGAACAATACGGAATTCGTGGAACAGCTCTGAACTGGTTCAGATCGTTCTTAACAAATCGTAGGCAGTATGTTGAAACAAGGCAGGAGAGGGGAAACTTGTGTCAAATTAAAAAATCTCAGGTCCAATCTGTAGATAGAGGCATACTTCAAGGTACAGTGCTTGGCTCTGTTTTATTTATCCCTTTTATCAATGAAGTTTCTGCTCACCTACCTAGTTCGGGTCTATCACAGTTCGCTGAAGACTGTTCAAGTTTAGTCTCCTTACACTGTTATCAAACTCTTCAAAACAGAATTAATTCAGCACTTGTACTGCTAAATAGCTGGTTTAACACCAACGAACTCTTTTTGAATGTCCAAAAAACAAGTCTACTGATATATCAAATGTTCACAAAACAAAGAAGACCTTTCTGTGAATGTCTGGTCGGGCGGGGAGGCCGTTGAAATAAAAAAAGCACGCTAAATTTTTAGGACTAGAGCTCGACGAAACCCTATCTTGGGAAACTCAATCCCAATTACTTTCTTCAAAGTTATTGCTTCCTAATAAAAAATTTAAAAACTGTTTTGACTGGAAAGTGCATGATAAATTTCTGCTATGCTCACATCTATTCGAGATTACTCTATGGTATTCCCTTTTGGGGAAATTCAAGTCATGCGACATCTGTTTTCAAATCCTAAAAAAAAGTCCTTGGCGGTATTGCTGGAGTGTCGCCTGATAGTTCGTGCAGGCCCCTCTTCCGGGAGTTTAAAGTACTGCCTCTAGCGAGTATACATAATAGAAGTTTGTTTATGGGTATATAAAAATAAAAATACCTTACAAAAACACGGAGATTTCCACGACTATAATACATGTAACAAAGAGTGTTCCTTCATAAAAAAAATAAACTATAATTTTCAAAAAAATATTTTACGAATGCCGGTATTCGAGTGTACAATAGACTGTCCCCAGAGCTAAAGTAAACATTTTTAAATCCAAACTAAAGTTTTTCCTCCTAGAAAACTGTTTTTATAATTTAAACGAATATTTTACCTATTAATATTTGTCATCACTGTATTGTTGTGCTTTGTCATATATTTCTATTATATACAATTTTTAATGTAATTTTCTACCTCATTTGCATGATCTATATTGACCTACTTGACGAAATTCATAATACACTGACTGTATTCTAAATATGTGGTATAATAAAGATATTATTATTATTACTATTATTTATATGTATTCTTATGACGCACCTTTATCTACAGCGAATATAATTTATCTAAGAAATAAGTAAAAGACACAAAAATACAAGATAAAAATGATTATTTCCAAACGTACCTGTAGGATAAATAGGAGAACTATCCAGTAAAAACAGCCTCGCAGGGTCAAAGCTCGAGAATCAGGTACATAAATAAGTACTGACTGGAATATATACGAACATATTGAAATTTAGATTAAACTCTTAAGAACGATACATATCACCTGATGTTATAATAAACGCTTCTACTTATGCGAAAATAAAACGGTCCATTTACGTTTCAAATAAAAATTCGTTACAGTTCAGCTGAGGTAAGACCTACTTAATGCAGAATAAACATCTGTTGGGATGGGTTTTACCACGGTTAAGGTACTGTAAAATACTTAAAAAGTCAAAGCAATAAATGAACTATATTTTTGGTCGTATTATACCACTCGGAGAATAGTTGACTCTTCCTCTACCCACTACAGATATGAGATTTTCTGCCCCAATCGACGCTTATCCCGAACGGTACCCCGAACAGGTACCATCTCGACTTGTTCGCGTTAAACAGGTGAACGAGCGTGTGTGCGATAGGGGACGGGTGTGGAGGGGAAAGATCGGTTCGATACGTCGACGTAGTTTCGATTCAACTTTCAGTGTCGACTCCAACATGGCGACGGTACCAACACCGACGGCTTAACGTGTGCCCGCGATCCAACCACATCGATTCGTAACGACCGTGACAACTGCTGCGTCGAATTTCGCCAAGATCGCGTCAAAATACGTCGAGATTCGTCGTTAATTGTCGCGTGCCTTTCGGCTTTCGGGGAAAAGTTGTCGTGTGATGCGCGACCGGCAGCGTAAAGTTACCCCGTAAGTGTAAATCTGTCATTGTATGCGTGTTAATCCGATATTCGGAAACCAACGCCAGCCATGTTGCGTACCGGCGGTTCAGGACCGCGTTGTAGCGCGAATAAACTCGGAGGACGCCGCGAAGAAGAAGAAGAAGACTGTCCGGAGAAATCCGCGAGGAATGCGAAGAATTCGGAATAAAGCCATTAACGTCGCAGTTCGCATCGCATGAGAAAAACGTTTTCTAATGAACGATCTTTTTCCCTACGTCTTAACAAAATGGTTCATTTAATTCCGTTATTAACTTTGGTAAAGTAGATAATAATCTACATAAACATCGCCTCGGATTACTGATTTCCAAATTGGTGATAGGTAGAGACCTGAGTCGCGGTTGAGATTGTTAATTTTGGTTAGTTAGGTAAAGAAACCGTGGTAGAATTAAAACACCATACCTCTGTTCTTCACCTCAATAGCAATGAGCTCGAATGCAATTCCACACTTGCCACTGTTCTCCTTCCTTACATTTAAAACATCACTGATCTAAAGAAATATTACGTCAAAATCACATCTACCACTCACCCAAAAATCTCTCAACATCTTCGATCCGTCAAAGACGAGCCAGTTTCAGTCAAGCTCTGAAGAAGCGAACAGGATGATTGGCGAAACGTTAGCGTTTGACTGCAGGAGGAATCCAGAAGTTTTGTAAACAGTATTACAGTAGCCTGTGGAAGTTTCTTTGGCTATACTACAGCGGTTCCGAAAATTTCTATAGACGAGCCACCGACGTAAGTCTTGCTGCCATGGATTCTTCAACTCACCGACGGTTTTCCTTCGATCTTGATTTATTTTTACTAGTGTTCACATCTCTTGATCTGTGATGTGAAGAGTTTTTTTAATTTTCCCATTCGGTGCGGTACGTCTTGGTCCAACTTTCGCGTCCATAGAATAGAACTGGAAAGATCTTCCAGAGAAGTATTCTAATCCAGAGTTTGAGTGCGAGTGTGATCGGGTATTTTAGAGGTTACGCTTATTCTATAACTTATCCATGAAGCCCGTTTGTGTCTTGGTTTTGGACGTATTCATACAAAGTCAGAATTGCTTACCATAGTCCACAGCCTAGCTAATAGCACGGTATTATGAAAAATAACACACATCCTATTGCTTACTATTCTAACCTGGACCCTCCGAGTGTCATTGTTCGGTGCTAGTAAATTTCGGTTATGATCTTCACATCTCGGGCTCAAAAGCTTTTTTATAAATAACACACACATCTCTGAGTTCAGCACAATGGAAAAAACGGAGTTTCTCGAGTTTCCATTCTGTTGAAAAATTGCAAAACCAGAAAACCAGGCGCTCACACTTTTTGTATGAATGATCTGGAAGAATATTTTTAAGTTTTTACTTTTTCAAAGCGACAATCTACAGCTCTTCTGTTCTTGTGAACTTTCATTGCGTGTTTAAGTTCTTCTTCGGTGTCTGCCTTTAGTAGATCGTGTTTGTTCTGAAGGGTTTCAATTTGTCCGCCAGCCATCTCCTGTTGATTTAGCTTCGTTTAACCATATCTTTGGGTTTTTGCTCCCTTCCTTCGTTTGTTAGTGTTATGATTTCATTCGTCATTCACTCTGTCCTCAGGTTTTTGGCTGATTTGTGTCGTTCTGCTGAAGTTGTGGGTAGTATATTAACCATCCGAACTGGATTGTTATATCCACTCTACGAGAGGTTTTTACTAAGTTACTAAGAACTATTTATATTCGCGTCTAACTAAAATGAAATTTATTGTTCATCACGATCAGCAGAAAATTTCCAAACCCTATTTCACAGTTTTTTTTACTTTGTTTTATTTTTTGCATTTTCCCGAAGAAAGTATTTTAATTTAAATTTTTTGCCCAGTTCCCTATCGATTTTTTTGTATTGTTTTAAATGAATATCAATTAAGTCCGTGCTTTTTGCAAACAAAACATCGAAGTAAGTAATGTTATTTGATACTTATCACTATGAGCAATCAAGGCATTATACTTTTTGAAATGCACAGCGATTACTATCAAAAATGGAAAAAAAACCGTAGGGTTCAAAATTGGAAAACATATTTTAAGAATTCTTAACTACGCGAAAATTTTCGAAAATTATGTTGAACAACAAAATGAACATTTAGAACTTATTTGTTACCATTAAAATTTTAATCATAATTCTGACGGGTCGAAACGAAAAACTCGGCAGAGTCGCAATAATTACGCAATTTAAACCCTAATAAGGGAATTTTTGAGCCTGTACGTAAGGAGATCTCGACGTTAGGGCAGACGCGAAACCCCGTTGGAACTCGCGACGCTTGCAGTTTTTTGCAATACGTTTATTAATAGACGTCCTCGGCGGGGTGACGTAATAAAAATTCAAGGAGCAACGGCGCGCTAGAGTTATAAACAAATTAAATCGGCGCACCGCAGTTTGCAACAATCGCTGCGGATGCAGTTCGTTCAAGCTATTTTCGCGTCGTGGAAAATTACCGCTTTGAATTAAAAATTCGCGTATTATATTTCGAACGTATTTGGTTGAGGAATCGATGCAGGATTAAGAACACGTTTTATTTAACTAAAATAAAGATTGCACTGAGGTGGCTTTTACTTGATGAAAATCCATTTAATACAAATTAAGTTAGAACAAAAAATGTTCAGATTTTCACAGTTTTTAATGATAGAATAGAAAAATACCAACTAATAATCATGAATCCTCAACCTCCAAAGTTATATTCTTTATTTAAATTTCACAAACAGAATATGCCAATAAGGCCTGCAGTTTAGAGACGGAATTAGATAAAACTTTCTAACTTAACTTAACTAAACTACAGAACAAATTAGGTTTTTCCATTTACCACAAACCCTCACACACGGACACAATAATACATAATAACCCAAATCATCTTTATACACACAAAATGGCTGCCCTTTATGCCTTTATCCACAGACTACTTAATGTACCACTATCTACAGAAAATTTTGAAAAAGGATTAATTTAATTAAATTAATTTATCTAAATTTGGTCTTAATATTGCTTTTGAAACTGAAAACACCATAGGGCATTAAGAAAAAAACTAAATTACGAAAAACTGAAAAATCCGGGGTCTATAGGTTGAAATGGGGATCATGTCCCAATATTTATATCGCATAATCAGGTAGAACATTTAACAAATGCATTAACGAATATAAATTGGCGTTCTATTCATTTAAATTCGAAAATGCACAAATTTAACGAAAATTTTGATATTTTACATAATAAATCAAAAAGCGAAAAACTAAATTTGTTGAAAGCTATGGAAATTAACAAAATAAGATATTTGAATCTATTACTTAATGACCAATTAGATTTAAATGCGTCTCCGTTATTAAATTTAAATTTATAACGCTACAATGCTAACTAAAAGTCTATTACTAGCTGTTTTTATATATAGGTGATGAAATATAGGCATATTTTGTATTTGATAAAGGCACGGTGTTTATTTATTTATTTATTTTTATTTATTTATTTTTATTTATTTATTTTTATTTATTTATTTATTTATTACAAAGGTGCCCTAACATGAAGAACTAACTTCACAATTTACAAGGACACACTAACAATTATACCATTATTTAATTAACAAAGTAAAACTTATAAGTAAGTACCTACCTATATCTACGATAAGCAGAAGATTAAAAAAAAATAATAACAATCAAACTTACCAAACTAAACCAAAACTAACACTGTATATTAAGTGCGAGAATTACAAAAAACAAATGTGAAAAAATAAGGAAAACAAATCAAAAATTAAAATAAATTTATAGAAAAACCCTAATTGCTTGATTTCGAAAGGAATTAAGTGATAACGCAAAGATGTCAATGTGCGAAAAATAATTATTGTAATGTCTATGTAAAAGAGATATTGGGGAATTGTTACCTAAGTTTGTATTAAATCTAGGCACGTAAAATAATGAAGGAGTTCTTGTTATAACGACTCTGGCATTGAAGGAGAGTTTTTCCAACAGTAAAGGACAGTCAATCCTACTATTAATAATATTATGCAAAAATATAGCACTGGAGATAATTCTTCTAACAGATAACTTCAGTATATGGTAGAAATTAAGACTAGCTTCATACGAATGAGTTAGTAAGTTACGGTTAAATCTAAAATTTAAATGGAAAACAAACTTTTTTTTGTATTCTCTCGATTCTGACTATATATTTATAATACTGAGGACTCCGTATCACACCGCCATAGTCAAGGTGAGATCGAACGTAGGAATTCCTGCAAACTCTTAATATAAAACCTAAATTTTTATAAGCTTTTTTTACTATATTCTCAATGTGGGTATCAAAATTTAATTTTACATCTATAGTTATTCCAAGATCCCTAATCTGCTCTACTTTTTTTATTTTTACACCATTGAATGTGTAGTCAAAGTTTATATAATTTATATCAAGTTTATATATTTATATCAAGACGGTAACATTTATCAATATTTAAAAATAGACGATTTTTTACACAGTATTCATAAAAACGATCAAGATCCTCTTGAAACTTATGACAGTCATTAAGGCTTTTCACGGGCGCGTTTGATTTCTGATCATACCAAAACAGCTGTCATAAATCATTAAAAACTGTGAAAATCTGAACATTTTTTGTTCTTATTTAATTTGTGTAAAATAAAGATAATACAAGAATAATAGTTATGTTTTTATGTAAAATTGAAAAAATAATATAAGAAAAAAATGAAGCTAAAGAATCTTCAAATTCTTTGTCTTTAAAGTCCCAACCGGTGTACAGTCGTTTTTATATATGAGGATTCTACTAATACTCTGGAACTGTTGTAAAGTTTCAACAAAATTGCAAAAATAATTTATTTGCATCGAATAGGTTACAATGGACAGTAAAATCACTAACCTTACCAGCGCCGCTGTCGAGAGTGAGTGTTAATATTGTTATTATCTTTTTTTTTTGCTCTTACAAATATTAAGATTAATTGACTAGTTGTTGTAGCAACTATATTGAA